AGCCAGGACACCCTAAAATATATGACAGCTTAAGAGTCTGGCCCACATCGGAAGAAACCACATCAAGTCAGTGTTTGTGTAGTCAGTTAGTAAAAAGCAGCGGCTCACAAAACACTGCGATCAGTGCTTAACTCTCCCAAAGTCGATAATTAGGACTGAGCTGTTGTGTCACCTTTGAAAGTCTTGGCACATAAAAGAGGATTTGATGGTCTCTATAAGCAAAGGTCTCTTGTCTAGGTGGAAGTTGCACCGAAGTAGCACTGAAGTCAAATAAAACCTACAAGGAGAGGCTAAAATACGTTAATCCACAATATGAAACAAAGACCAGTCAAAATGTCCCAACCACCTGACTCCTCCTCCTTCTTTTCTTAATGTTATCGGAATGGAAGGATTTCTGGAAGAAGAAGTTGAATAAGTCATTGGGCGTGGAGCTCACATCTTTAGGATCCAGTGTGTGTATTAATTGTTCGTCTTCACCATTGGTCACCAGTTTAACACTTTGAGTGCAGCCTCTTTGGGTGACCTGTGGGTTGCTCACTATGGGTGGGATTAGTTAGCTGGGGCACCATCAAAGTGAAAGAGAGACCCTGGAATGAGAAAAGCAGACAACAGCTTTCCAAACGCTTCATAGACACAAGCACAAGTGTTTATGGTTTCCTGAGGTCAGTGCTGAGCTGTGAACTGGAGTCAGATGAACAGGTTATCACTGATTTCAGACTGAAGCAAGTGGTCAGTCGCCAAAGAGTTGATCCTATCCACTGCTGCTGGTTTTTAACCTCCAGAAATGAATATTTGCTAAGTATGGGCAAGGTAGTAAACTAAACCTTTTCATTGCTGCTCCATTGCTGATCTTTAGTTTATAGTAGAAAATTCAAGTGGACCTTCTGGTGTATAAAATTGAGATTAAAATAATAACTGCAGCTTGGCACCATGAGAATGCTTTTAACAGAACTGTTCTTTATTTTTTGTATTTAAGCATCGAATAGGTATATTTTCTCATGTTTTCATAAATTTAACTGTTTTAGTAACCAAAGAGAAAGTAGTCGACCTGAAGTCAAGAATGAGATTTAATTGTATCTGTTTAAAATATATATTTTTTATTATTGAGTGTTTAAAAATGCGCAAATCCATTTAGGTTGAAATGTCACTCCTAAGACTGTTCGGTTTGCTAAGGCAGGCATCTGGTTTCAAGTGTTTTGCATTTCACAGGCGTAATCTCATCCATATGGAAGGAAAACAGTGAATACTATTTATACGTAGTTTTGTTCTGCAATTGTATCTAATTTGCTCTTTCACCAATCGTACTGAGTAGCAAAGGTCTGTGCCTTCCTTCATACACTAAATTCATATTTCATCAGTGACGGTACCATGACATTAGTATGGAAGGCAAGAACATTTCAAAACCTACACATATAGTCTGCGTCTGACTTTAGAAACCACTGCACAGAGTGCTTTATTGACATCCCTTTTCCGCTTATTTGATCTTATAATACCCTTTTAAGAAGGATGTATAAGAACGGAACTTTTTTGAGCTGATACCTCCTGCTGCGTGTGGCTTCGCAGACAAGCCTGTGCAAGCAACGATGAAACAAGGTCTGTGTTTCAGCCACAAACCAAATACAGAAGCCGCAGCCTGCATTTCTCTGTGTTACATATATACGGAAGAATAGGGAGAGATTTTCCTTTTCTATGCCATGATCATCCACTCATTCACGGAGCAGGGAAATTAACCCTAGGCTCCATAAAAGAGCTGATCGTGAGGGTGCCAAGATGATCTTGGTGTTCCTGAATCCCTGCTACACTGTCTCATATTTCCTCCTCTGGCTTATGTGACTTTTCTGGAAGCCCTGTGACTAACAATCACGAACACCCTGTCCGTGCTTCGGCACACCCCCACCAAGCCCCAGAAAGGAGTGTTAGCAGATGCACAGACCGGAACAATTTAATAACACCTTTGTGCCAGTAGCTCTCGGGTTTGTTTACTGCAGCTCGTAAAGTCCCTTGTTATCTCTCACATTCTTTCTCCTGTTAACTCTTCCAGTTTTGATGGAGCTGTTGCCCTCTTGATCGCAGGCAAGTCATATTTGTAGAGAAAGAAAAGTGTGCTGGAATGACCGTCTTTTGGAGTCTTTTGCTCTACAGCCTGTGTTGTGTTTCATTCCGAGGTTTTCTTTCATTTCCCTTACAATTGAACACGAAATAGACCTTACGTGATTGAACGGGTATTTTTACGTTATGTGGTTTGCAATATGTCTCTCCATTCGTCCGTGTATTACAAATAATTTGCAATGACTGTGATTTGTGGAAATAAATATTAATGAGCTCCAGTTGTTTGACAAAACGTAGGATGGGACAATCCTCAGTGATGTAAAACAGCAAGAACGTATTAATATTCATTACCTTAATTACCATCGCTACCTATTTTGAGTAATATGTAAATTATATTGCTATGACCTTTTTCATAATGTTACACAGAGAAAAAGTTAAAAAGCTTTTCCAAGATGTTCTCGAAGTTTTCAGATGTGAGATGAAAGCTGGCAATAGTTGTGCACAGGTTCGAGGTATCAGCATGGGAAGTACTATGAAACCATATATACCTGCCTTTTTGTAAGATCTGCTGGAAAAGGGCACCACAATGAACATATACATAAGCTATACATTAGGCAATAGTAACATATTTAATATCACTACCTGTATGTACATGCAAATGAGTTTCTGACTTGGCTAACTTCCAACGCTTTGCGCTCACGTCCCAGCCAATTTCTATAGCCCTGGAGTGCCCTCTGGCGAGCAGCAATTGAATTACAACTCCCGTTGCCAAAAGCCGAAGATCATGTTGAGCGACTTCAAATCGGATACAGTATATGGGATGACGCTCTGCATCTTTACTGATGCAATGTGAAATGCTCAGCTCGAACAACAAAAAAAAAAAAGATTTGCGTCCTAAATAAAAACTGACATTATCGGGTCTAGGGTGGAACGCTGAGTAGATGAGGGACCATGAAGTCCCTCCAAGGTATGTGGTGGTGACTGTCTTAATTTAGTGAAGGAAGGGGTAGTATTGGACTGAATTATGTATAAATTATGTAGAATGTGTAAGTGTATACTACTCCTGTAGGATTCAGAAAAGGTCCACTAAACATTATGGACAGAATCCCTGTTTACTTTAGACATTGCTCTAGTTTGCACTGACGATATCATTGCCCATGTAACGGCAGTAAGCACGTAATACACACAACGATTTCTCTAGCATCTGGAGATGTCAATTACCCAGAGAGCTGCTGTGTAAAATACTGACAATACCGCTCTGGATAATTAGGGGTTATTTCAATGTTCGGACGGATTAAGCTGTTTGTGGCTACAACTGGTCTACAGCAACTAATCCTACCCTGGAGCTCTGACTCCTGGGGGGTCTACAGCTACTGGCACCCCACCCAGTTTTCCTGTAACAGCTCTCTACCCTTCCCTGTTCTTCCCAGCGCTCCAGACTGAACTACTCCGTCGGTGCGCCGTTAGAGGAGACAAATTGCGCCTGCAGGAGGTATTCGTCGTGTCCCAGGGGGGCTGAGAAGAGCTTAACCGAAGAAGGCTCTGTTTTGTTGGAGGCTTTACACAAGGGACTAACGGGCATTCGGGAGTCCACAGCAGTCAGGAAGTGGGCTGCAATAGATGTACCTGTCTGGGAGGTGATGTTTATCCTCATCAGCCACCCTCCACATCTCTCCCACCCTTCGCACCCTGATCATACCCACCTCCTTTGTCCCTCTTTATTAGGTAAAGCTGGTGTTTGGTTTCGAATGAAGCCCCAGCAGTGGGAGTGCTGGGAGGGGCTGTGGATTCACCCTGGGAAGCCGGTGGGCACTGTTGTTGTATCGCTGAGAGAGATACTTCGCTCAGATCACTCCCGTCAAAAGGCCAGCTGCTTTTGGATAAAAAGTATCAGCCAAATAAATGAGTAATAATCCAGCCACCCATTTTTTAACCACTTCTTCCAATTCAATATCGCAGGGGAGCCAGAGCCTATCCCAGTAAGTGACAGGCATAAGGCAGGGTACACCCTGGACAGGACTCCCGTCCACTGCAGGGCAGAGAGACAGATACAGTCTCATCAGGGCCAGTTTTACCAGAAGCCAATTATCCTACCAGTATGTTTTTGAACTGGAGGTAACCAGTGCGCCCCTACACAAACACAGGCACAACAGAGCTCCAGGCAGATCGCACCACAGATATGGAATTGAACCCAGGATCCCACTGCATCACCATCTTACCACACGAGTATTAATAAATGAAGAAATTGAGCCAGTGTCATATATATTACAAGATTTACTGATCTGTTTGCTGCAGGACACATTTTAATTAAGAAATTAATCCAGTGGAAAGACAAGAAAACAGAATTTGTAAACTAGGTTTATCTGCTCTTAAATGGTTAATACCTGATGTACATTAGGAGAAGATAATATTTCCCTCTGTCTCAAAAAAATTGGACATAAGTTTTTGGATCACTATATCTACAGTAATCAAACTTAATACCACATCTGTGACCAGAAAACTGAATTAATTTGCTGATCACTGCAAAAGCTTGTCAGTGTATTTTAAAAGAAAACCATTCTGGGTATTCATAAACTTTACATAACATCACTTTTAAGATATTCACCTTTAAATGTTCTACAGATATTATTCAACTTTACTTTCCATGAGAGTCATCAGCTAAAATTAAGCAAATTACTAAAAATTTACTTGGTTTTTAAAGAGATCATAAATCTTTATGGATTTAGCCACCCTGCAATCTTGTGTCATACATAGACATTTCATTTTACTCGCAAGGCTCAAATATCCTACTTACTGCCTTCAGTTATTTAGCAGAGAACAGCAAGAAGTATCCGTGAATGATAGGGCATACATCACTTTATTTTAACAACAGTAACTTATTTACAAGAGCACTGAAATATACACAATAAAATATTTTACAGGACTTATTCCAGAATGTACTGTCCACAGATTAGCAGTACAAGTTGTAGGTACCACACAGAATACGTAGATGACTCACGTTTAGTGTAATAACATGCTATTTATTCAGCCTCATATTAAGCCAGCTATTCCTGAGAAGGGACTGATACTCAGTGCTCTGCTTGCTTCTGTAGATCAGTGAAGACTTTCTTCACCACTATTAACTGTGATTCCCTGTGTGATCGTTTCAGTTTGGCACGGCGATTCTGAAACCAGATCTGTAAAGAAAAGAAAGATCCCATTGAAGTCACAACACTGGGATGGAACTGTAATAGCAACTCAGCATCCTAATACATTTTGCACTCTTTTCCATTATACAAAAGTAAAAGATGGCTTATTCCTTGCTTTGGTTGTGTGCTTAGAAAGTATTGATGATTATTTCATTTTAGACTTATCTGTTCCTCTACACTGTACAAAGGAACATTTCAAGTGCATTACTACTCATGAATGAATTTTTCTTCAAAGATGACTGCAAGAAACAAAAAAAGATGTCCGGAGGATGCAAATGCATGTAGCACAAGGCTCTGAAGCCCACAGGCAAAGTTCTGGCGCAGAAGACAATGAAACGCTGAAGTGATTTCCGATCCCGCTTCAGCAACCTTTCCAGAATTTGTGTGTGCCTGCTTATAAAGCAACAATAGGAAGAAATCAGATGTGCTCTTAATAAAGGCAACACAGAAAGGAATGAGCAAAGCAGAGGATGAAATAAAAAAAGCACACTTTGGGGGTCATGTCTGTAGTTCAGCTACCTTTGTTAAGATAAGGGAATTATGAGCTTTGTTCACTAAAGAACAGACAAAGTGCATGAGACGTGATGTGTCCCTCCCTTCCTTGAAAGATATTTTTTTGTTATTTTCGGCGCTAAAAACAATTCAGCAGGGACGGTGAGGACGAACACGGTCGCACACAGGAGAACTTGCCTGTATTCTGTCCTCGTCCAGGTCCAGTTTCTGAGCCAGCTCTTCCCGCACGTCTATGCCTGGATAGGAGTTGACCTGGAACACACTCTCCAGTACTTCGATCTGGAACCAAACAGAACCGGGATTTTATTTCCTAGACCTGTCAATTAGAGCTGTAGTGCTGTAGTGTAGTCCCGAAACGTAAGCACTACGGCAATGTTTTTCTTTCAGAAAAACATTTAATATTATACAGAATTAAAGCTTTACTTACAGATATTATTTTATGCTTATACATAGATTTGACAAATTTATGAACTGTAAAATAAATTTAGGAACATCTCTAATCAGGTGGGGATGAGGACCTCAGCATACAGTGAAATAGATTTGCAAAACCCTGATTAACAGTAGTTTTCAGTTGCTTACCTAAATTAACATCAGATAGTGCAGGATTAGTGGTAATTAGGGTCTATGAAACCAGTGATGCGTGACACAAAACAGGTTTAAGCAACTGCATTGTACAGTAATTGCAGAACTCCCGAATAATTATTTGAAAAACGTAAGGGGGTTTCTTGAGAATTCCTCAAAATAAAAGTCAACATACTGTCATTTAAAACAAAAGGCTAGACTTCTTAAATCTTAAGGTATTAAAAGCTCAGAAACAAACTGAATAAACCCAGCTTAATTTTGAAACACATCTACAGTTCAATATGTACATAGGCGAAACTAGATAATTCATGACAAAATATATAACTATAGCTTTTATAGTTAGTAACTTATTTTTTATATTTAAATATAGATTTTTTTCCTATAAAACATACATTTTATTGCGTTGTATCTTCAGGTTAATTGTGTGTTTAGTATGGGTCGATACTCCTTGCCACTCAAATTATGAAGACCAATATAATATTAAATCTCAGGAGGTAAATAAACAAACAGACACACAGATAGAACTCCAGAGCCTGGAATCAAACCCAGAAGCCAAGTCACCCCTTAATATCACAATCACATTATTCTCAATCTAGCAAAAAATAAAAGCGTTGACTTCACAAAACCCTGGCAGCCTTTGGATTTACGGAGAACAACAAGAAAGAGTAGCATTATTAAGACATCTGCTGTACTTAAATTGTGTTAAAGTTATCCAGTATCGGCTTCAGGATTCCTCAGTGTGCAATAGGCTCACTGCAAACATTTCAGACTGTGAACATTCAGAGCTGTGTGCTCCTACCTGTCTGCCACTGAACGCAGTCCTGGGTCTGCGGCCAATATACCAGTTCAAGGTTCTCCTGTATGAGTCTTTGCAGTTCTGCTTGCTGCTGCTCCTCTCTTCTTTCGTTTGGACCTCTGGCATCACCCAGAGGCCAGGGGCAATGGAGAGAGCATCTTGTTGCTGTATTCTCTCTCCATCTGAAATTCAGTTATGGAGCAGTCATTTATCCACTGTTAACTTGTAGTTGATAGGGGACTGTCTACCTCAATGTTCAGTATATGTACTTGTTAAAACCCAAAAGGTTTAAATTAATGTAACCTCGAAATAAACTACTTTGAAGTTATTTTACTGCGGTTCCATTGATATATTATTTATATTTTTACCATTGGTGGGTAGATAGTGAAGCACAAATATAACATGCATCACAATAGCCAGTCTCCATCAAAACCACCAATGTCATTTGGTTCATTTAAAAGGTTTTCAGTAAGAGCAGCAGCAGAAATAATACAACAATAATAATGATAATAAATCATTACCTGTCCATGGTCTGTACGGTTTAGTAGGAGAACTTTCCTCTTTTCTGTCCAGTCCGAGGATGCTGTCAATGGTGAATAGTGTCTTTCTGTCGGCCGGACGGAGCACTTTGTGAAAACTTACAGCAGAAGAAGGCATACTTCAAAACCTGCTGCAACTCCGGCAGGTACCGCAGCCAAAGACGAGGCAAGCAGTGAAGGAGTACTTCGCGAAACAGACCCTTTAACCACCGACGCTCTTTTAGAAAGAAGGGAGGATTTTCCACGTCAGTAATTAAATTCTTGTCGTTGGAAAGCTTAGCATATCAATGGAGACCCCCCAACAGGGGGCACGATGAGTAATTGTTTGCTGGCAGGTAATTTATGGGGACAAACTAGGAGCGACGACCAGGGATACAAAGGTGTTATCTCTACAGCCCAGAAAAAAAAAATTAATAACAACGCATCTGGACCCCACAAACTGCGAGGATGCTCCTTTCTTTCGAAGCATTAAGGTAGAAAATTGGCGCGTTTAAAATTTACTACAGAACGGAGATCTGTTTTCTATGGCGTTGGCGTGAAAGTAATGGGAAACCAGTCAAGTATTGAGTAATCCCATTTAGGTGAATTTTCTGTACCATGGAAATTTAAAATAATAATAATAAGCTCTTAATGCTATTAGGGTAATCCTGCTGAATATTCCCTCCTCCCTTTTATCATGCATATAAGATTGTGAATGTGGTCAACGATAAACAAAACGTTGTGGCAGAAGGCGAGATATAGTGGGCGGCACACTTGTTCAAATCCAGTGTAAGTGTCGCCCCCCGTCCTCTCGGATTAGTTCACAGCTGCTATTCAAGAGGGCTCTTTAAATAAATATTCTACCTGTTTATTTACTTCCCTGAATATGAAGAGGATTCGGGCACACTTAAACCCATCTCTAGTGTATGAGCTCAAGCTCCGTGCCATTGTTTCTTTTTATTCCGAAAACAAACAAAAGTTGAAGGTTTGGATACAATAAAAGTTTAATTTCATATCATGCTTATAAAATTAGGTTTGGGAAAAAGGATTGCCGAAACCTCGGCGACTCTAAATAGAAATATACTGGCATTTAATACAATATTAATGTAGTGTAAAGAAGCTTTGTTTCCAACATTGCGTTCTTAACAATTACTATTTAACGAGTTTTGTTTTTCTCTGCACACAATGGTCTCAACCCACTGAGAATTTCTTACTTTTTTCTCTTGTATTATACAATCTAAATGAGGTTTCATGAGAACATTCTTGTAGAGGGTATCATATGGTGATAGATTATTAATCGGATTACGTGCTTATATTATTCAAAACGCATCAAAGTGCAAAAAGTTAAGCTAAAATGTGCATCTATTTTCCCCTTCTTTTTTTTTTACTGAAAAAAGATGCATATTGGAGAATCACTGGCGCATTTTTTTATACCTGTATCATTTTGTTTTAATCTAATAAAGTATACTTGAAACACTATACTACCCGCGAAACAATGCTAATTCTACAATGAGAATTAAAAAAACAAAAAACAACGTTCTTTACACCCAGAAGAAGGTTCCACAGCTGAAATGAAATTTCCTTTATATTACGATTTGTGACATATTTGAAGCGAACCCAACAAAAGCTATTCTTAACAGGAATGGACAAAAAAAATACTTCCCTTTTCCCGTCATCTTTCAAAGTGTCATGCGAGGGGGTACAACTATATGTAGGGAGAATATTCCAGAGACAAACTGTAACAGAGGTAGACCTCCCCTCTGTTAAAATTAATAAATTTTTAATTAAAATTAATTTAATGTTAATTAAATTAACATTTAATTAAGAAATAAAAAGGAATAATTACACTTTTCACAAGAAAAAAAAAAGAACCTTTAAAATAAAACTTAATTTGAGGCATTAGGTCCAGGCTATCAATGTGGTTTTACATACAGTATGAGCCAGCATGCAGGTGAACTAGAATGAATGAATAATAAATTAATGCAGCTCTCCAATATACTGGCCTCCCATTCAGTGGGAGAAAACACTAGTGTGCTCTCAGTCCTGTGGTGCTCCTGTAGCATGGGCTCAACCTGCTGTTTACTGATTATTGATGGAGGTACTATCTTGAGCCTTGGAAAACAGACACTAAGCAACTGATTTCCTAGCAATTGCAATATATATATATATTGTGACCACTTTCAACAATACACATATATTTTTGTTTCTTCCAGAAACTCTACACCTTTTAATGCCAATTAGTAGCTGGTGTCTGACCTATTTTAGAAAATCAAACTGATTTAATTTCAAGGTAGAATCACAGTGATAGCAGGACTTAGAAAACTGGATAGCTGACATATCGCAATCTACAACCAAATCAAGTAGAACAGTAAATTAAATTTAGCGCTGTATCAAAATAGATGCAGGTAACTATAGATTGGGTATAGAAAGTGACAAAACCACAAATGTCTGTTAGATATGGACTGCTATGCCTTATTAAAATAAGTAGCTTTAACATAGAGATTACACAGCCTCAGAAACACTCCAAATGCATAAATATATGTTCCTTTGTTATATGCATCTTACAATGATAAATGTCTTCTATACCACAAATGCACAGAGCAAGAATCTGAACAGTTCAGCTGAGTTTTAAAATTTGTTTTACACAGGATAGGGGTTCTTTAATGATAATGGGTTCCCCTGTAAAAGCTGTGTCAGAATAAACAAGTAAAGTGAGTATTGCTCATTCACCTGCTGGCCCGATGAACAGCAATGCTACACAAGGTGTGATAAAAGCTTTTTCACTGTACTCTCCACAGGTTCTTTTGTCTCTGCGCATGTATTTAGATGCACATTTTCAAGTTCTTATGGAGTTTCTTTCTTTATAACACATTTACAGTAAATAGCAGACAAAATGTAGTACACATTAGTACACAAATTGCAGCTGCCCCAAATTTACAAGTACAACCGTTTATTACAATACCCCACTGTTCCATTACCACAGTATACACCAACCCATTGGGAACACAACAGGAATGAAACAACCAATAACCACTGATTTGAACACTTCCCCTAAAAGTCTCTTCTTTTTAATAATGTTTAAGACAAAAAATCCCATTACATGATTAGAATTACCCAGGCTGGCGGAACATTAAAATAAAACTTTTATACACTTGATTTAATGAAGGAGTTATGAACAACATTCCCCTTTGTTTAAAATATTTCGATATTTCTGTTCACAGGTGCAGGAAGAAACACTATGCCAGATTATGAAGGACGTCTTTTGCCTTTAGAAACTCACAACAAAAAAGGGCTCCCATGACATTTGACGTCCAGTTCATTAACCATTTGTACAATTCACCATTCTTTTTTGAAGACTAAAATGCACCTGTACATACAAATCTACACACACAGGCAATAAAACTTAATTTGTCTCCCAAACTTTATTTTATCTTCTTCAAAAACTAGTCCGTAAAATTGAACCCCACACCTCTAATAAAGAAAGGTCATGGTCTAAATCAATGTCGAGAAATGCTGCAAAAGAGGAACCTTGGTTCATTGCTCCTGTGTTAAAAGAACACAAAACACATTTGCCAGCTGAGAAATACATTATTATTTTGTGACTCATACACATGGAGGAAAACAGAAAACACCACAACACTAATCCTTCCCTTAAGCATCGGTTTTTACTGCCTTTTTGGATGAAGTGACCCCAAACTGCTGATGTTGCCCAGACATTCAGGAGTGCCAAGCTGGACACATCTGGTTTCAGCCTGATTTCTTCCATCTAAGCATCTCAGCAGAGTTTTTTCCCTGACAGTATCAACTGGTTAAATCAAACCCAATTGACGTCCTGATTAAAAAAACCCCACCGGAACAAGTCTCAAGATTATCCTAGTTTTCATTTGCTCTTGTATAAATGAAAACCAAAAAACAAACACTAAAAAAAGCATTGAAAAATCAAACAGATTTTCAGAACCCAACCACAGGTCATCCTTATTATCGTTTCTCTACCTAGTACACATTCTTGATCTGCCGCTCTCCGAGTCTTCCTGCAAGCGTTCTCTGTGAAAACTTGCATCTGCTGCTAAAAAGCGGCAACATGTAGTGACTTCAGGTGCCTCCATTGCATTATGATCCAGTTTGGCATGGAATCTGCACGGAGCAGAAAGTCACTAGGATCAGACAATTCCAACCGCTATCTAAAGGAAAAGGAATCACCTCCAGACTTAACTTAGCAAATGTCCTGAACTCAGGTTGTCACACCAATGGAAGAGGCAGCAAAAAACAGCCAGTCAAAAAAGTCAGTCACTCTTCAACCTGTTTTAGCATTTTCATGGTAAACAACGTCACAGCTGTTAAGTGTTTGATTAGCTAAATAACAAAGATAATGATCAGTACTTCCAGGCAATTCTAATCAGCAGCACATGCAGTTGTATAAAATTGCATTCGCTTATGTTTAAATGGAACAGACATACAGAAGACATATTAGTTAATTCTACAGTATTTCATACATTAGAGTACTTTATAATTGTCATTGTTTCAACACGTGCAATTACAAAAAATGATTTGTTTTCCTTAGTATGATGAGGTTTCAGCACTGCATTATTTTATACAGAGTAAAAATGCTTACACTAAAAGTTTACAATTATATATCTTCTCTGTAAAGAAGCTGATATAAAACATTGGATTTATATAAAGAAAAACATCACACGGAGAGCTCCCAAATTGAGCTCACCATTCATTGGGATACTTCTGTTAGTTTCTTTTTTTTTTACAGCATAGAAAATGTCACACTCACTCTCCGAAAGTTAACAGGAATATGATAAAAAGCGTTCAACGCAGTCAAGCTGGAACACTGCAGTCTGTCTGCGTGCTCAGGCCTGGTTCTGTCTACAGACACTCCTAGGCAGTCTCTTTGCATTATTACAGAAGACGTCAGGCCTCTGATTCGCCCTTCTTTCGCCCGTCCTCTCCTGCATCACTGTCTTCTGATTGGCTGTTGCTAAGCACTACAAACTGTCCATCACCACTGGCTGGGTTGGGCCGACTGGAAGCAGCTATCAAGCGACTTTGCTCCTCCAAGTCCTGGGGATCACAGAACAGCACTGTAGGTGTCAGATACTTAGAGCCAGATTCACTTTAGCATTTACCACCATTCTGCACTAGAAAAAGGACAATGGCATTTTAAAATGCTGGTCAAGTCACAATTTACAGAAGATTATTGGATTAGCGATTACTGATGAATAAGCCAATAGGAGAGTGTGTGGTGCTGTGGCTGCAGCCTTTTACCTTCTCAATCTGTTTCTGTTTGCTCAGCTCCTCTTGCTGCTTCTCCTTGGCCTTTTCCAGCTCCTTCTGTTTCTGAGATGCCCTCTGTTCCTTTGAGTGAAGAACAGACCTCTTTCAGTGACACATACTGTATCTGCAGCTACACCACCTTAAGCCTGACCTCTGCAGATAACAATGCAAGATCGCCAGTGCGCTTACGTGACCATATACCTGAAGAATTTTTCAAAAAGCAGATTCTACCACGGTTCGGCAGCATATTGTGAAAACACACCAACTCTGCCAGAAATAAATTTTTCCCCGTTTTCCTTCTTAAATATACTGCTTTTTAAAAAAACACATTTTGGAAATTAAAAAACATATTGCAAAGAGCACAATTTAACACTAAAAAATTCCACTGGTAAAAAAAGCTGGTGCACATGACTAATACTATTTATTATCAAAGCCGATTTCTTACCAGCATGCAGTACGTCTCTGATCCAGCCAGTCTGAACTGTATGTTAAGAGCACATCTCAAGCTAATGACATTATTTATTTTGCGTTTTCTCCTCAGTTCGGTGTAAAGTGCATTATTTAGGAATGTAACTTGGACTTCTAATGGGACTTTCTGTACTGTACTGTAAGTCAAAAACACACTTCATCTAACGTATAATCCCAAACCCAACTCTGTTCCATTAATTCTTATGGGAAAAGCCTTCCTCTTTAAGTCATTAGGAAAGTCTACACTCATACAGTCATGTACCTCAATATATATATTTTTATGGGGAGACTTTCCTCTATATACATTGTTTCATGATGCATCACGATTTATGGTCACTAACCCTGATATATATCGGTTTCCACCTACAACACAGTATGACACCAAGTAGGGGGACAATGTGTGGCAGCAGGGGTTATTTTCATGGCCTGACAGTTTTAAAATCGAGGCTGCTCGGGCCTGGGACTTTAGGGGTGAACAAACGAGACCCAGCATCGGTAAAAAACACTTTGAGATCCTCAAGAACGAAAGATCTTGTAAAAGAAATAATACTGTTTCTATTTTATGAGCTGGACCAGCACAGCCCAAGTTTTACAAGTATAACTGTTCTAGAGGTGCACTCCAATCATGTCTTCTTATACACAAAGCCAAGCACCTTCAGTCAGTCTGAATATGTGTCTTCTTACCATCTCTGAATGGAAGGCAATCTGTTTGGCCAGCCCCACACTGTCACAGATCTGTAAATAACAAAACAAAGGGTTTAATATCTGTTCCATCCCCCATGTCTAGACTAAAAGCTGTTTTTTTAAAAAAAACAACACAGGCTGGATAAATATACAGTACGAGCCCCTTGATCAAGTGGTTGTCAATGGCAGTAGTAAGACAGTGATGGACCGACTTTCAAAACACAGGACTTAAGAGTCTCTTTTTGATACTTAGAAAGAGAAACTAAATTTGACCTTCATTTTTTAACGAGACAAATGAGGGGTTGAACAAGTAAGAGCGCAGCAGTTGTGGGATCAAGCTTTGGTCATGCCGTTTGTCCAGCAGGCGATGGCATGCAAACGGAAGAGCACCGCTCAGGGTAGGGTGGGGCTGGTTGGGCCAGGGCAACACAGCGCCCCCCCGGAGGCCTTTCAGGCAGTTGCAGGCTCGCACTGTTGTCAGTGAGGGAAGTGCCTCTCCTCCAATCGATAAGGCGCTACCTTACTGTAAAGTGCGAAAAGGTTAGAGGAGAGAGTCCGTCTGCACTTCCTCAGTCACCTCACCCTCGTGTGTGGTTGTAAATTGTTTGTAATTGTGAGTCAAGATAAGAGAAACCATTGCTGCTTCCAAATTAGGTGGGTTTATAACAAAAGAACCAGAATTAAATGCATTGAATTAGAAAAAAAACAAAATCGAGAACTTATGCTTCCTTTAGTTCAATATTAAGATTTGAAACAGTTTTCTTAAGGAGAAGAGTAATAAGTGGCTCTTTTTTAAACCATTTCAACACCTGAAATCTTATTTATCTTATATAGGCTGTGAGAAAATGAACATGGACAAAGAGCGTGCTCTGAGGTTGTGATAATATGTATTTGTAGCGTACGTGTAGCTCCGGAGAGGTGGCTGAAAAAGCAACACAGCAAGAATTAGAATTCTGTCATGATGAAAAGAGCAATGACTCAGACAGGTCCTTGTCTCTGGACCTCAGAACCCTGTCTGCACACACTGTGGGTTAAGCACCCACTCGATACTGCAAACAAATGAATTCAGGACGCCGCCCACAGTGGGATACGTCTCCTTCTCTGCGTTTAGGTCTTTAAGGGATGCAGGGCGAGTTAACTTTTTCATTCCGTTCCTAGCAGGACTCTAGGGACGTCACAAAAGAGCTGCAAAGCAGGGCAAGCACCTTCTCTCCCTCGTTGTTGGACTCGAAGACGTAGCAGACGGAGACTGGCCGCCCGTCTCGCTGCCCCCCTGCTGTCTGCAACATGAAGCCGAACAGGCGCTTGTTCTCCTGATGAGTGGCGCACAGCACCACGCTGGGCAGAGGGAACTGGGCACAGACAGAGCAGCTCAGTTAATGGCAGTTCATGTCACAGTGGCTCTCTGAGTGTCAATGATGGTACAAAGCCTTTACTACACAGAAGACAGACTCAGTGCTATAACAGTTCCCTAACATCAATCGGACAAATACACAAGGTACCAGACAATGTGATTTTACTTCTTTCTTGACTGGAGTCCAACAGTCAAATGTCAATTTACTATGAAAACCTCATTCAAAATCACGCACAAAAAAGGCATTTCTTTAAGACCACTTGATTTCAGTATGAGAAACAACTTTCACATTAGTGGTTTGAACAGAAAGAGAGACTGTTGAATCCTATTATGCATCGATGCCGAATACATTGTTATTTAAAAGGTCTGACATTTCAATAAAACATCTACACGAGTGATGTCAAAACTTACCCGCAGACGTGTCACTTGAGTCTGAGGATCAATAAGCCTGCAGATAAAAAACACAGAATAACGTGAGACATGATCTGAACAAGATGAAGGGAGAGTCACTGGAATTTCCATATGGACCAATGGCAAAAAAAAGTGGTATTTCTTGCAAATCTTTCTAACAAATAAACCCAGAGATTTGTAGTGTGATCTTGCAATCAGATAGTACACACAGGATTCACCTGTGCTAGATTCTGCACTGAAGCAAACCGCTTGGACATAAGTGAAGAAAACACATTGTCATTGAATGATAGCATGAAGCCCTCGGGTGCTGCATTAAGCACCAGTATGTGTCATTCATTTTTAGCCCATTCTCTTACATGTAGTCAGTGCAGAAAATGTCAAACCGTTCGGTTAGCAAGGCAGAATAAAAGGACAACACAATTATTTAGATGACACAATAACACAGCTAACAAGAATAAAGGGATATTACAAATAATGACTGAAATCAAATGCATAACAAGTCATGTAGTGAAGTTATTTAAGTGCAGTTGCCTGATGAATGAACTCAATTGAAATATAATTTGAAGAAAAGGGCAGATCATTTTCAACCAAAATTGTGGCTCTCCCACATGGTTTGAATGATGACTTCTTCACTGAAAACATTAACAGCAAGACGTGTGTGGAAAGATGTCTTTTCTTCATGAAAAAACAAAACCCCTGGAGCTGTCTGTAGGAAGACCTAGCTAAACTTTTCACCAATTCAACAGAGCACCAGAGAGGGCACTCACTTCAGGCAGTCACAGGTGACCAGCAGGTGGGACTCCGTCATGCGGAAGATGTTGTGAATGGCGCGGGAGGCCAGGATCTGCCGCATGGTCTCATAAATCACGTCGGGACTCTCTGTGGACTTCACTTCCATGGAGCCCAGGAAGCGCACAATGTAGAGCTGGTGGAGGATTGAGTCTGAAACCGGCAAAGACAAGCCCGGTCACACTCACAGAGTCAAAGATAGAAGAGAAAAAATACCAGGAAATGCACGCATCTCAGCCTGCTCTGTGCCTTTATGTTTCTCTTCATGTCATCTGCCATGACAAGCCAAGCATTCGCTGAGCACGCCTCTCTTAGATCTAGCTACACTCCCAGCAGTCAACACTTACTGGATGGGTAGAGTCTCACCTTCACTTTCCCCTTTCGGGGTGTCTCCTGACTCCCCAAATGGGTTCGTCCTTCTTGCAGGAAAGGGTACAAAAAATAAAATATGCAAAATATTATTCAAAAACACATTGCATTAGAGAATTCATCCATCTACATATATGTCCCTGTGTGTAATCTTAAAACAGGACAACAGGAGCAATATTATGGGACACCATGTACAAGGTAAGACTTTCTATTTTTGCATTAGATTTACTGGTAAATATACTGGTGTGATATTTAACGTTACTGAGTGCTGAATTATGCTGACTGCACTCAAATAGGGAAAAATACAGAAGTTAGCATTGTAGTTATTCCTCTCTGCTATGTATATGCAGTCTTACATCCATCAAAAGTCACCGAAGGCTGGTAATATAAATTACCAGTACAAGGAGTGAATGAATTGACCCAACACCCTGCATTTTGGAGTTGGGAGCCCCGACCTGCCAGCCTGTCCCGAGCTCTTGGCCTGCCCAGCGTACTCCTCGCTGACGGGGGAAATGATGTCAAACTGGATGGGCGTGTCCGGGGCCACCAGCGAATCCAGGGACAGCGCTGACACAGCGGGAGACTCTGAGCCCACGGAGCTGGCGCTGCTTGTCCGAGAGGCCTTGTGACGACCGTGCCTGCTTGAAAACCGAGGGGTGAGGTCCTGCAATCCACACATCGCTCAGTCCTCAACCCCCGCCCCCTTTCCTTAACCTTTAGGAAACCCTGACTGAGGCTGAATCCCAAGTTCAAAGTATCTGTCAGTTGGGGGACACCGTTACATTAGGCGTCCCACTCTGAAAATTCAACAGTACGTTACTCATGTGTATTTACATAAAAAATAATCTGTGCTCAGGGATATTTTGTTTAACACAAAATACATCATACATACTGCATACGGGGTGGTATAAGTCACAGAAATGCGTCAGGCCTCAAGCTAGAAATGTGTCGAGTCAGTGCTAGCCTGCTGTGTTTTGGCCACAGTGTGAAAGGCGTTGTCTATCAAGTCAGAGGGCGAGGACTCACGAGGCAGGCCTCAGGCTCTCATGTCTCTGCTGGAAGGAGGGCGAGGGCGTCACAGCGTCCAGCGCTGATTGGTTCACTCGGGCAGCGGTCTCCTGTCAGAGCAGAGAAAACCTCACAACACAGACCGGCGCAGTCGTCCCTGTACTGAGCCCCAATAACTCACATACTTCATGCTAGAACTAAGACACATGTGACGGAGCTTTGGAGGAGACTTCACTGTGAAATATGTGCAGTACACCAGCATGGACATCAGAAAAAAATGTGTTTATGGATTATATGAAACACTGCATTTACAAGGTCCAAAAATATTTAAATGTTTTGTGTCTGTGTTGGGAAAACACGCAGGATGAAGTGTCCAGTTCCTGAATTAAAGCAGCAAAATGGAGGCTTCGTGAAAAGTCTAAAGCAAAATTACAAAACAAGCTTAAAAAAAACACACTAAAACCATAGCCCTGCAAACTTGCCTCTGGGTTTTCGCTGAGGTAAATCCGTTTTGAGACGTTGTTAATCGTCGCTATCCACTGTGGGACAAGAGTGGAATGAAAACAGCCATTAGTAGTTGGTAGTAAAGCTTTTAATGAAACTTAATTAAATAAGGCAGATGGAAGCCTTGCTTTCAAAGCCAGTTTAAGAAGGCACTTTTCATACACCTGTAACTTATAACTAAGTTTAACTTTATTTAAAATTAAGCAATCAAATACAGAATGTGATGGTTAATGTAGAAAAAAAATATCCCTGGAGTACTTTGCATATTTATGTAGGCTAATCCATGTGTATGTTATATAATGTAAAAGAACACTAAAAATTAAACCATTTTCCTCTTATTTCCATATCAATGTATCTATATTCAAAAGAGACTCGTTTGGTTGCTGTGCAACCAAAGACACAGCAAGACATTTTTTATATCATCAACTGCTGCTTTTCTATACTGTATGTCTTTACATGCTTGTCCTTGGCTTCTTCAGCTTAGTCATTTGTCCTTATTTTTCACATCAAACAAAAACATTCACTCCAGAAAAACAGAACTTAACATATGCTGTGGGCATATTACTTTTTGAAAAACTAAATGTACATTAATAAATTGAATTAAACTACTGACAGTTTTGTGTTACGTATTGAGCCACTACTAAACTGTCATAGGTCTAGTACAGTCATCAGGCAGTACTGTAGTTCTACAAAAGTGTTTAGGTCAGTTTACAGATCTGCTACCAAAAAAACAGAGTCTGTTCAATATGTATTTGTTTCACAAAACCAAAACGGACCTAGATGTGTTGCACAGGATACTTTAACCACCTGAGCCATCTATTCACAAAAAAAGGGTAAGCATTTGCTTATAAAATTTTTTTAATTAAACATTGCTTAATGTTTTTTTTAATCAGCAAAAGAATTCAGGAAAGTCATCTGGCTGAGACAGAAGTACAAACAAATTCAAAGTGCATTGATCCACTGAGAATATTAAACTTTATTTTGGTGTACATAACTCAAACTAAAACATCGCTTGAGTTCTTTCATATGAATCACATGAGAGACAGTAGAAAACTGGAAATAACCAGTCTCTATTTCCAGATAACTGGAAAGTTAAAGAGACTGGCTCTGCAAGAGAGCTGTGCACTGGTCTCTGAATTCATGACAAACACTCATCACTAGGCCTTTATCATTCCTGCCATAAGAACATTAAACACAACATTATCTGGTTGTGTGCTCGTTTGACTCGTGTCAATACGAGTCAAACACGCATCATAAAAGAGTCACTGAATTAAAACTGGAGGGAGGTGGCACCCTCTTCATGTTCCCATAGCAACGGCTCCTGCCCCCTTATCCTAGCGCATGGAAAGACACGTCGGAGACTCCCTCTACGTGGAGGACAAGAGTGGAAAACTCTCCTCTCCCTTACCTCTTCGCAGTCCTTCCTGCTTTCTGCCTGCAAAATCACCACTCTGCAACACACAGAAAGAAGGGTCAGCACCTCCCCCCTCTTCAGTTAAAACAAGGAATCTTACAGAATGTCTCGCCTCAGCAAGTCTCCAGTGCAGCACGGCAGCAGTCACAGCACACTTATTACTAGGGCAGCACATAACGACAAAGTGCCTGTGAAACAAGGAATTACACACAGGGCACATAAAGTCTGGTGAGTGGGAATGACTTCAAATCAATGTAACTTTTATAGACCCTAAAACTGTTTGCAAGTCATAAAATATGATCTCATCTATCATGATCTCTGATTCAATCCATCCCATACCCACCTCCAGATTAGCTACTTACAGCTCGATTGCGAATAATGACAGTTAATTGTCCTTTAATTGAGTTTCAGAGACAGACAAAAAGGGAACGGCTATTATGATGCGTCAACGCTAAATGTTATCCTCTGTTACTACGTAGACTTTTTGTTTCCCTAAAAATTAACAGGGGGAGTTACAAACCATTCACTTGAATCACACAACCAGAAAGTCAGAAAAAAACGGAGAACAGGACACAGACCTTATGTCTACTGCCTGAAGTCCTTCAAAGTTATTTTCTATGGAGGTTACTCTGTCCTTTCCACACAAATAACACTAGCAGCACCCAAAAGGGAAAACTGGCCCTGTTGTGGCTGTTTCAGACCGACATGTTTCCCACGGCCCCGCTGGCCCAGGGCCAGGCTGCCGAGCAGGCCGAGGGCCGCGCTCCTCACTTCTTCCCGTCGAAGGCCGTGATCTGAAAGCAGTAGCGGCGGTCCTCGCAGTCCACCGCCATGACGGAGCAGTTGTCGATGTCCATCACCAGGCCCCCCGCCACGTCCCCCCGCGCCTGGCTCATCAGGTTCCCTCCCTGCGTGAAGAAGTACAGCCGGTCCCAGGAGGACGACACCAGGCTCGTCTTGCTGACGCACACGGAGAGACGCACAGGGGAGCCAGGTAAGCCGACGGGCAGAGCTGTACACCCCCTGCAAACACCTTTAACTTCTACAGACGTGAAGCTACAAAAAGTGCGACCGAGCGGACCTCAGTGATGCCGAGAAATGAAAAGCACACGTATCTTCCTCTTTGAAAAGGGAAGAAAAGAAACACAACGTTTTGGCTGTGGAGCCTTCTTCAGGTGAGATCTGAAGAAGGCTCCACACCTGAAACTTTGTGCTTTTCTTCTCTTTTCAACATGGAATAAACCTTTACTTGTTCCTTTGCAGTCTACTCATGCCGATGCAGCTACCTACTTGAACTATGTTCCTCTTTGGTTTCTTCAGCCTCAGGTTAAGCCTCAGCTTATTTATTATATTAATTACACAGCAGCCAAACATCCCAAAATAAGTATGAGCCCAGTGAAGTGGAAACCCATTGGGCTGTAGTTCATCTAAACAGCTGTAAAACAAGAAGGTATTTGATTTTCTATGGGGACTGGGGAACAGAGATCAGGTCCTGTCTGGGTCTCTGAAGCCTGGAAGGGCTGAAGATCCACTTATTGTTGTCACTTCATCCTGTGTCAGAAAGCGAGCTGGGAGCCAGCTCTTACTTGCGCATGTTGAGGTACCCAGCCTTGCGGGTAAGGTTCCTGTTGATGGGGATCTTGGCGGGGTCAGGATCGGGCATGTACAGCAAGTCACTGGCCTCCTCCAGGTCCTGGATGGTCTGCTGCATCACATCCACCTCTGTGTCCATTTCCCTGCGCACACTGAACCCCCCCCACACAGGCAAGACATCACTTTCAACTTACAAGGCCTCAGTCTGGCTGCAACTCTGGTTTCTAATGGCCACAATCTGGCAGGTTTTGAAGGACACTTAAAATTCCACACTTATGATCTGTGTGGAATGATTAACTTAGACCAACTAAACCTCTGCTGCAAATATTAAAGCCTCTTATCAAACGTCTGGTGAGTTAGAGACCTAGCAAGCCTACCAGACTGCAGCTCTGCAGTAATGACAGGATCACCTGCCTAAAACCACCCAGGCCTTCTAAAGGTAGATGGACCTGAACCTCTAGACTTGTGTTCAAAGGAGGAGGGGTCATTCCATGTTATCTGACTTAGACTGCTCTTGAAGGATACACATGAGGCTGTTGTTGTGACACCACCCACTCAACCTCTGCTCCTGTCATTCTTGAAAAGGAACAGCAGACTGATTACCTTACAAGGAAGCAGAAGAACTTCAAGAAGAGAATCACTGTGTGACCCTCAAAGCTTGCACTATTTTCTCATTCCGTTCTTGAGATTTTCCACCAGGAGTTTCAATCTTTGAACTTCATTATTGCACTGGTTATTCTCTTAGGCAATTAACCTGTCATGATAGGGGCTGTATAAAATGACGGTGCAATAATTTTTATGTTAAACCTGAGTGAATGTTATTTTCAACTTGTAAACTCCTGTTACAGTCACAACATGTTTGTGACCAGGGTTGGAAACTCTTGTTCTAGTCAGAATGAGAAGATGCTCCTGTTGCCACAGCCCAGAGAGAGGGGATGCTTACTTCTGCACACTGGTTCCAATGTTCGACAAGAACTCTTCCCACTGCTGTGAGAGGTTTTCAGAGCCCAACTTGAAGAAACTAATCTGGAGGAAGAGAGACACGGGATAAGAAACTCTTCACAATATCTGGTCAGACAGGCTGACACCGTCTGGGAAGAACAGCAACACACATTGTGTCAAACAGAAAGGGCAGTCCTTTCTGGGCTTGTCTGGGTAGCCCATGGTGATTAGGACTCTGCAGAATTACAAACCAACACCTCCACTATGAAAGACAAATGTGTGCCTAGATTTAAAACAGGAACTGGCAAATCATAAAAGAAAAATGAGTAGTGTTCCTGAGATACAATGATGTATGGCAATAGACTGCCACTTCTGTAAGAGTTTAAATATAAATGTTCCTTCAAAATCTATTGTCAGCAGAACACCAGCATGGTGTTCTCTTTTGATTGCCATGTGACACTGTGAACTACACCTTTTTGTTCAATTTGTTATTTGACGTCTGTCAAAACACTGCTGTTGACTTGAAGGAGTTTTCGCTAAAGAGCAGCATCATAGCATAACCATCTCCAATTGATTTCTAAACACGTCCTTCTGCAAATCCTTCAATATGTTGAAAACAGGGGAGGGGAGCTGCAGCTCCATATCTGCAGGATTCGCTACCATCTCCTACATTCAAAAATGAATTCAGTCCTCTTGGAATGGTTCACATCTGGCTCTATGTTGTGCGCTCACTTGACATGGTTTCCATGAAAGACATTTCTGAATATAGGTTATTAAACAGCAGTGTGTCATAATTAAATAAAGCACCCCCAGATACAAGTATAATATAGTATTTCTGTTTTTCCACAATGTTTCTGTACTTGTGGTATTAATATCTGCCTTCTGGATTAGCATTATGATCATCTGTGATATACACCAAGGCATAAGATACTGCTGAGGTTGGGTCTGCTTTTTTTGTACTTGGAGCTACTTCTAACTCAGGCTCTGCTTAAGTAAGGCCATACACACTCTTGTGGGTATAGGGGTTATACCCCAGTATGATCCAAAGATTTCTCGGAAGGAATAGCAAACCTGTGCCTGCATGTATCCCAACAGAGGCTCCAGGAGAGCGATTTTCTTCTTGTACTGCAGAGTGTTGATGGTGCCGAAATAGTGCATCATGGTCTGGTGCTGCTTCTTCCTGGACGTGTACACATCCTCCATTACCTCATTCTTTACCTGAGCCACAGGAGCGAGGATACTGGTTACAGTAGGCACATGATGTCTGATATATCCAATGTCTATGTCTAGTGGTGACAGCACAATAGTCCCCACATATAACACACCTCTGCAGTATGACAGATATTTCCCATTGAGAGAGCTCTGATAGACGGTCATTGCTAGTCACTCTATAGACATTTATTTCTTTCGTGATGTGAAAATTTCATCATCACAGATTTAAAGTTACAGTGATTTATTCACTCAAGGTTGAAACTCTCAAAGAGTATACCGAGGTGAGTTTTTTCAAGTCACCATAAAAAAATCACATTTGTTCAGACACTCAGCTGCTCATTCCAAACCAGGGCAAATATTTTATCAAACAACTAACACACTACCTACGCCTAAACTCAGAAATGAAATGGAGTGAATGGTTCAGTATGCCTAACTTCTGCAAGGACGATGAAAGTCATGCTGCCTGTAATCTCTGTTTGCTTTAGCCAGCCTGAAGTAAAAAGAGTGAAACAGCAAGATGTGTGACTTATACACACAATCTTTAGATGACAATTTCACACATTTACATTGAAGGACACAGAAAACACGAGTTGTTCTGAAGATCAGTGCAAAACGACATTAGTTCTCTCTAAGAAGGTCCTGCAAACCTTTTCGTTGTCCCTCCTCTTGGAGAGGCGGCTGTATCTGTTGATGGCCACATCGTGGTCTGAAAGTAAAAAAACAGCAACAGGTTTTGCCTGAAGCGCCTGAATTATTCGGAACAAACTCTTCACACTTTGCGTGTTGCTCATCAATGTTACTTGACCAGAGCCGAGAAACTGTAGTTATAGTAACAGTATGGGGTTCAAAAGTGAACTGAAGTCGACATAAAGGCCTACATTTCTAAAAAGGTCACAAATGCACAAGGCAGCTTTGAATCTAAGCACAATTTCCTCTACTTTGTACTGCCAAGGAACAGAATTTATAGCTTTGATTTAATCGATACTTCTAACTGAATGAGTGCTCAGTTATTTGGGCTTATTTGCCCTTATAGTGAGGCCCAAGCAGCTGGGATAAAGACACAAACACAACACAAAACAAAATGAACAGGACCCTAACAAGAAGAGCCAGTCATTAGCACTTACCAGTGCTGGCAATCTGGAACACTTCTTTAAGAGTGAGGATTTCTGCAGAGGCAACATAAGTGAATTAGCAACTGGAAAGATGGTCTTAGGGTTAATTGGCTGATCAGGGTTATTGATCACTGAAGCAATTAAATAACCACACATTGACTTTTACCCATTTTCTGCTTTTTAAAAAATCACTCTGCTCCTTTCATCGCTTTCACCAGCACTATCATTCCCCGGCACCGAAACCAGCATTTTTCCTAGCAGGTGTTTATTTTTGATAGCAAGACTCAGCTGGAGAACAAAAGCCATTTACTGTTCTTCTTCAGTTCATATACTGTAATAGCATGCCATTTTCAACACAGCCCGAGTGAAACTACTACACAAGACTGCAATCATGACATAATAAGGAATGTGTACTAACCACCGAAGAGAATGTGTTTCATAATTGGTATAGCAGAGCTAAAGGTAGCTTTGCATTGATTATCTCATCTTTTGTTCATAGTGCTAAGCAAGCTTTACTTTAAAGAAAGACAAAAGCAACAGTATGTACTGTATGTTCTTCATGACACAGGTTTTCCTTATGACAGCCACAGTAGATATATAGTTTCACCATGTTGTAGCATGTTTATACCATGTTATTTTTCTCTACTATAATTTGTTCACCACATTCTCACCATGTTGCTCTTTACCGTGATGTTCACAGTAAATTCCAAAAAGGAGACTGACACACTGAGTCAACTTACCCTTTAAATCCCTCTCTTTGAACTGTGTGATGGGAAACATCATGGCGTCTGCGAGCTGTGTGGAGAGGACTGCATGACAGGAGCTGAGCTGTAGTTAAAGAGGGGCGAACTCCATGAGTGCGAGACATCATAATCACATGCAGGCCAACAAACTGGTATGGATATGTTGTAGAAAAAGTTCCAAGTTAAGGGAAGTTAAACTAAAATTATACAATGAGGTAAGACCTCAGACAGATTACAGCGTACAATTGTGTCAGCATGCTACAAAAGCACATTTCTGCCCAGGCAAGATGCCCAGGACTTGAAGATTGTCCTGAACTGAGTAACTGAATATAGTAGCACATTTTATATACTGCAAATAAAAGGCAGGTTTTTACAGAACGAATGTGATGAAAATCATCAAGTTGTTGAAGTGGACTGACTGGGATCCGTCAAGAATATATCAGGATGGGATAAATGAAGTCGAGGGAAAGATTTATCACCTATGTAACCCTCACCATTCAGACCTTAATTCTTTTACACTGCGTATGTGTACTGTGTGTGTCAGTAAATGCTGTATCCACTGATTAGACAAAACACTAGTTCTGACATGATTAGTCAAGCCAATAAAGCCCCTTTGAATTAAGGTCAGATACTCAATCAAGGCCACTTGTAAGGATCAATGCTCTCAGCCTCAAGGTCACTTCAATCTTACTGACGTTAATGAACTTTCGTCTAACGCAACACATATTTCATTCTAAATATTGTGCTGCTATAATTACTCAACGTGCTTCTACTGCAGTAAGGCCTTGTCAACTATTTACTGGCTGAAAACCTTCATACAGCCTGCAGTATGACGTAATTTACACCACCTACACAAAGTATTTTTGTCTATGCTTGGAGTACGGAAACTTCACAAAAACAATTTCCTAATGTTACAAAAACTAAGATGCTTAAGACAGATCCATTTGAATGGCCTTTGCAAACTCTTCCATTAGGATAGGCTTATTTGATACTTTATGGCTTGGTGTTGTCGTTTCCTTACCAAAATAAAAGATCTATTGTTTACCACAGTGGTAATCGTTCAAAAAAATCTGGCTCCCTGCCTCTTCCGTAAAGTCTTGGCACAAATAAACCAGCCCTCTGGAGGAACGACGCAGGACAAGACTCACTTCATCAATGACTTTGGCAAACTGCTGCAGAGTGGAGCTCATCACCTCGTCATCGCCACCCAGGGGAAACCGCTGCCGGAACGCAGTGAGACCATTAGTACATGAGACACAGTCCTGTCCACTGGTGTCCCAGTAGGCAGAGCTCCCTTCCACCTGGGCCAGAGTCTCCTAACCAGTGCTCCAGTACCGAGACCAGGAACCCTGGTTTGCAGAAGGTGCAGACCTTCGGATGAGACGTTAAGACATCCCACTGTTTGAAAGGTGTCTAAAATTCACTTTGGGCTGCACAATCTGGCCTCCCGAAACCCCACCACCTTAAATCACTCAGCAAAGCAATTTCTCATTAGTCCACTGTTTCACACAGGTGGGGGGCTGCAGTTCCAGCAGTGCAGGAGGTGGATATAGATAAAGCACTTAAAAATCGTATGTGATGAAAACTGCCATAAAAATGCAAACACTATTATTATACCAGATATTATGCATGATCACAAACAGGAGAGAGCTCCGTATGTGTGTATTATTTGTCTATATTTACTATAATGCACATACAGTACTTTAAATGCATGTGTGGCTCAAAACGAACAAGCTGTGTGTGTGTAATAATACACACAGTGACATTTTCATTGACCGCACCATTATTCATAAGCAGCTATTCGAACCCGAACAGTTGAAAAAGGCCTTACATCTGCCATGACGTTTAATATGTATGCTGTAAATCTGAATTTTTGCATATTTTTTATTTAGGTTTAGTTGGCCTCTTCATAATACTATATGATATTATAATAATACCATAAACATGTTTTGACTAGGGAGCTGCGTCAGCATGTGTAGGCTGCAAAGGAACAGGTAAAGGTTTATTCCATGAATGAAAAGAGCCATTTTGGGTGTGGAGCCTTTTTCAGGCGTGTCAAGACGTCTCTTTTCTCTTTTTTAGCAGGAATAAACCTTTACCTATTCCTATAAACACTGTTCTTTGCAAGTAAGTTATTCTCTCAGATGGAAAGACAAAGTTACAGGTATGAATAATTTTGCATACAATTTAACTGTAAAAGAAGGATTTCAAAAAGATATGGACGCTCCAGATCCTGAGAACTGGCCGTACCTGTTTCTCATATTCCTTCAGGAGCTTGGAAGTGAGGTGAGTGGCAGCGCTCAGCTCATTCTGCAAGACAGAAAATGTAAATTAGACTGTTGGGTACTATGTGCCATTGCTGCAGTAGTCTGAGTACACTAGATTCTAAGAAGCTAAGTAACTGGGCCTGGTCAGTACTTGAGTATAGAGACATCTAAGGAAAATTACATATCTCGAAGCACTGGTCTTACTGGATTTGGAGGGGACACAATCGCTCCTGGGCCTGAAACAGCACAGTAGTACCCAAGGCGCCGAAGGTGCCTTTTATGAGTTTTAGGTGGAGAGCATTAGGCTTTCCACTGCATGTCTTTCACAAGCAGGGGTGGTAACCCTATCATTTTACCTTAATTAGTGCTAAAGTCTGGTTCTTGCCCCACCTATAACCTCTGGGTCTCTCTACGAAAAGAGATTCAACAGACACTGAATACAATGATAAATTAAAAGGGGATTATCATATCACGTATCTGCTGTGTAGGTCAGCACAGCAATAATGTCCTTTTAAGAACTGAGCCAGCACTCATTACTAATGATGAGGCAACAGGTGATGGGAGCTGTCTAGTAGTCACTCACAGCACAGGTACAAACAGACAAGGAAGCAGTACCAACAAACAGATGTTGATTACACCACATGTACTTTGTACTGTCATGTGGTATTTGTTATGCAAATCTTAGAAGAGAAGACTGCGTTGTGTGACTTTGTGTTGATCTCATTTCTACCTAACTGAACGGAATATTTCTGGCACTGCTGCAATGATCTGCTCCAAAAAAAAGGATGCTGTTCACACCAGATGGCTGTAGAATCACTGCAGGAATCCTAGTTATAAATACACTGTATGGAAGTTAGCTGCAACAGTGGACTCACTCATTGTAGGGACTGATCAGAGTGCCTTCTCAGCTGACACATAGTCACCACCTGCTGTTTCGTGCCAAAGAATCAGAGTTCATTCAAAACAAACATACTTTCACAGGCTCTCTAACAATGCAGCTATTCCTGTTGGAGTAGGCGATGCCCCACCTGCACGACAGCAGCATTGGTGTCTGGTGTGGCTGGGAAGCAACATCAAAAGTGCTTGACTAAGGAATTAAACACCTTTGCTAATAACAGCAATTTGCAGCGAGTGAGGAAGTGGGTTTACTAAAATACTGTTTCCGATATCTGTAAGGTTATTGTTATCCAACTACTAAAAATTCAGGAATTCACTGTACATATTTGGGGCTCTGCGTCAACAGAACAGTTTTCATCAGAAAGTCAGTAGCAGCAGTGAGAACTGGGTAATTTCTCAGAGTCCTGAAATGAACTCCACAGCAAAAACCTTCAGTAACAGCAGGTTACAGCAAAAATAATAATGATGTTGCAGAGGCTGCAGTCAAATCCACTGCAGCCCATCATTTTAGAAAGTGAGAGTTGGCGCTCTGTGTGCTGTCGAGGTGGTTTCCCTGTGTTTGTGTCTGCCTGCTCAGCGGCAGAACTCTAAACTGTGGACTAAATGCCCAACGCTTTGAACCGTTGTGGGTAATGTGGCATTGAAGCCTTAAAATGAGATAACGAGGGATATAATTCACCCTGTTATCCTCACACTGTTTATAACACACATGAAACAGCCAATAACACTCATATGGTATCACACACTGTTCCAGAACTACAGCCATAAACTCACTTGCCTGCCAAAACTATGTTTTTGCAAGCTGACCTGAGCTGGAAGTAACGTGCTTCTATTCAACTGTAGATGTGCATTTGCAACTGTTACTATTGCCACTCGTGTTCCAAGCGCTCATGGCTGGCATTTCAACCAATATTGTAGTTGCGGTACAACTGCTACCCAGCTTCTGGCTGAACTCAGCTGTGTGGCTGGTTTGTCTCACCTGGGCATCATAGATCCTCTGCATGGCTTGGAACAGCTGGTGGGAGTAGCTGGAGATGGCTTCTACATCCTCCTCAAACACCCCCAGCAAGGAGCGGGTCTGTGTCGGGGAAAAACAAGAGCAGTAAGCAGCAGGGAATGGGCACAGCTCCTGGACGGAAGCTTCTGGACTACAGTTGCCTGCAAGATGCCTACTGCCCCTCTATCCAAACAACCACCCATCCATTTTATATCCACTTTATCCAACACAGAATCACGGGGGAACCAGGCAAGCAACAGGCACAAGGCGGGGTACACATTGGACGGCACGCCATGCCTTCACAGGGCTCTCACTCTCACACACACTCTCACACACACTCTCTCACACACTCTCTCACACACTCTCTCACACACTCTCTCACACACTCTCTCACACACTCTCTCACACTCACACCAGGGCCAATATTCCCAGAGCCAACTAATTATTTTTCTGGACTGTGGTTGAAAACCAGAGCACCCAGAGAAACCCACATGCACATGGGGAAAACACAGAATAAACAGATAGCACCCCAGGAATGGAACCCAAGACCCCGGCCATTTTAATGCATTTGTTCTGTGCATCAGGTGCTCTTGGGCGTTCTAACTCCCTACCCCATTTAAATATTTCCTGGCAGACTGGGAGACACCACTGCAGGTAGGATCCCTTTGGTACAATGCTCTGAAGGGAACTGATTGAACAAAGCACAACCAGATTCTGTGCAACACTAATACCCCTCCCCAGTTCAAGAAATGCACTAGTTAAATGCACTAAGAATCCAAGACGAACATTGTTATCCCTACTGCTTAAGCAATAGATGGAAACACAGCAATGGTGTAATTCAGGTACGCATTTGCAAGCTTGGGCAAAGTGCTTACACTCACAGAGTTGAGACTGCTTTCTGTTTTCCTTCCTGTGCTAGGTGGTCTCAATATTCTGTGAAACATTTCCAGGTTTTCAATACAGTAAAAGAGGACATCAAATAAGAAAATAAGCAACAGAAAAAAGGACATGTTCTTCCCATTACTACTAATACCAGGGCAAAGTTCCTGTGGAATGGGGAAGGGTTTTAAAAAGGAACCACCATTAGTGTGCAAAAGGCTAAATTTAACGTATCATCTCAGTGCTGGTGAACTGAGAAAAAACAACTTCTCAGTGTGATACTAAATACATTTACTTGCTTGTTAGAAATGATCCCATATGTTCTCAGCAGTTCCCATACTTCAGATCACAAATGGCAGTTTTAAATGATTAATAAATGTTTCACCTTCATTAGGCATTACATTTATGTGCATTTCAAAGGCTAAAGGCACTTGCTGTTTCTGAAACGACCAGATACACACTCCAACATGACCTGGACATGACTGTCCCTTCAGCAGCCAAACACTGAAGAAAGTACAAATCTCGTTGTTGCAATACTGCAAGGAGGAAGGGGAAGATCTGCAGGGAGCAATGACTTCAGACTGCAAAATCAAAGCGGACATTGGCCAGAGTTCATCTCCCAAAGAGCCTGACGTGAACAGTGTGCCACTAAAAAAAAACTGAATCTCAGCCACATGCAATCTGTATGCTCAGAGAAGTCTTCTTTTGTGTGAATTAAAATAAAAATGGGTGGAGGGGGATTTACAACACATTTTTTTTACTGAACTTTCAGAGTCAATGTAGCCGACTCATTAGGCTGTGAATGTGTGTCACTCATCATCCTTGAATAAGGCATAGAACTAAAAATTGTATGCATCTAGTATAAATAAAATAAATACAATTTGGATCTATAAATGTAGATATAAATATAAATAGTGTTTGCAAGACGTTTGCCCACTTTGTATAAAAATAAAAAAATCAAAGGATGACCAATTAACATAGGTGCAGAGAGAGTTGTTGGAACTTTTACATCCTACTGTCTGTAAATCTTGGACAACATGAAAATTATCCATCTATCCATCTTCTAACCGCCTTGTCCAATACAGGGTCATGAGGGAGCTAGACCCTATCCCAGCGTGCATGATGACAACTGAGTTATTTTTCTATCAGAGGGAGCATTCCCACATTATGTGAACGCTCCTTACTTTTAAACAAAAACCGAAATTCAGGCCAGAAAGGGTTAAAGGAAACAGTAGGAAGAGATAACTGGTGTCACTCAGGAGAGAAACTGGTGATATGCAAGGAAGGGAGAATTGCGCCAAGAGGGCATAAAAAATAGGAAAACGCAAATGAAGGGATATTATTGATTTACGTGATTTTCTCAACGAGTTAGATAATTAATAGGTAGCGGCCGTTACCCAGACCGAAAGAGCAGGGAAGAGACAAAAGGCCTTTGCAGTAGTTGAGGAGCTTGGCTGCCGAGGTTGAGGCCTGTGGCCCAGAGCCCCTGGCAACGCAGGACAAACAGCAACAGGGGCGCTTGCCACCGAGCCGAGACCTACTGTAAAACTGCTGACCGCTCGAGACGTCTGCATGAAGTATGCCGCAAAAAAAAAAAAGGGTGCCAGTGGGTAAGAGCAGGTCTCCGTAGGAAATAATAAAATTTAAAGTTTTAAGTGAATCCGAGGAGGCTGTGTTGGACCTACTGTACAAAACGTCCTACAGAGTGAGCTCATTACAGACCATAGTAAACTGCTTTAGCCACAAAGGAAGAGGTGAGCCCACCAACTGAGGTCACACTGATATGGCCTTGGAAAGCTGCAGGAATCCAAAACAGAAGACTTGTCTCTAGATACACCACACTAATTGTATTCATTTTATGTTTAATATTTCAGCTATACGTCCGACAGTTATCCCCAGTGATACTCACAGCCACAGTGAGGAGGTGTGTAGAGAACAGGGCAGCTCGAAGGCAGACTCGCCAACCAGAGCCAGGGTTCAATCTTGAACCAAGAGTTACTGTACAGTATTTTAACTGAGGCCCACAAAAGTAAATAAATACCACCTTAACCTGTTGTAGTATAATTAAGGCTTTATGGGCAGCTGAAGGAGACGACTAAAAATTAAACATAGATTCCAGGCTAGATTTTCTCTGTGGCATGCTAAAATATCGCTGAATTTGGAAATGACCTTGAAGTTGTGCTTGTACAGTATTTTGCAGCAAAACATAATTATTCACACACAACGCCTGGCATTGAAAAGGATAAGTGAAGGCCTGTGTCAAGAAAAAAGCAGAAGCTTCACAACTATTCAGAGAAACACAAAAATAAACTAGAATTCCTGAACATCTTCCAAGTGTTCCACTGAATCAATATTATTAATATACAGTATGTATATAGCAGAGAGGCAAAAGGCAACACAAGGAAAGGGGTTATGTTATCCGAGTGTGAATTCAGATGAAAATCACGGTAAAATTCTTAAATCTTCGTCTCATCTCTTTCGTGAGCTCGTCGTAGCTGCTTCTGAAACCCGCGTGTAGAGATTTTGCGCAGCTGCGGCTGCGTCACGTCACGCAGCGCGTGGCCGTGGACTTGTACAGACGGAACTGTGCGGAATCTGTCCTACAAGAGCGTGACGTCACTTTCAAAAACTGTCACCCTGACACCTTGATATGGTCAGACAATAAACTCTCTTAATTCTGCCTTTTCGTGTTAAATACTAAAATAGTGCGGTACTGAACTCACTGAAGCAGAATAAAAAAAAAATCAAACAGCGTTACAAAATTAAAATGAAAAAGCAAGCTAATTGGTTATTTCGAATACTCCGTTTTATTAGATAATGCTCTATATTTTTTAAAAAGTTTAAACTTTAAGGATTACACTTTCACTTAAGATCCTTTTTTCCCTAAAGACACTTCAATGTTGGGTTTTTTTTTCAGGGATTTTCATTGTCCCTGGCCTATAAAACAGCATACAACAGGTTGGACTGGATCTGTCAGTACACAGTAACCTGCTATACAACTCTATAGCTGTATACAATGTTACAGTACAAATGTTTACAATAGCTTTCAATGGTTTTTTACAGGACATTTAATTTTTTTCTATGACCTTTTCAGGCCTGCAAACAGAACCAGCAATATTCCAGCTTGCCAGAGCACTCATGAAACCAGCAGAGGGGAAAAGCGATAGCTCATGATTCATGCCATGCAAGCAAATAAGACTGGCACTGTAGAGCAGTTTGGCTCGTCCTCAGTTTTACAGACTCCTGCAGAAACTGTAACGAAACACCTGCCTCAGAGTTTGGCTTATATAAGAGACTGCAGGTTATGAAATTCCGTATGGGTTTAACTGCTGTGAAATGGTAGTTCGTGGAACAAGAAGAAAGATATCTTGCTTAGAAAAAGGAACATACAGTATACTTCAGTAAATTTGTGGTGTTCCGTGAGCTGCTTTGAGGCTCCAGTTTTGATTGTGACAAAGGCCACACTCTTCCTCAGGGACAGGTGAATAATATCCAGTCAGCTTCAACCAACCACTAGTAACAGCTAGATGGGAAATTAAGTACAGCCATTTCTTAAGAGTAAGACTGCTGCTTCATGCTCATCTCCTGTATTAGACTAAATGTGGCGAATTCACACAGAGCTTTAAAACCGTCATAACAATATTATTTAAGGTGTGGCAGTTGAGGAAGAACCTTTGGCTTTGGTTGCAAACCTAATACACTCAAGCCAACCGAGTCTGTACTTAACTGTATAAAATGCATGATCAATAACTGCTTTCATATTATATTTGCTGTTTTAAAAGAAAAAAGGGTGGTTGTGGAGCTCTGGCAGTATAAACAGACGGGGATATAGGTCTCTCAAGAGGACTAAGGTTCAAAGAATGATTTAATCGAGGAGGCTATATCGCTTCCTGTCATTCAAAGTCGCACGGTTTTCCAAATGAAGTCGCTTCAGTTCTTGACACGTTGCTGTGGCACGATAGTTGGGGGGTAAATCTGTGATTTAAAGCTCCGGTTTGTGAAGAACACGCCCCACAAATACAAGCCACCGGAGTGGAACGAAAATAACGCTTCAGGAAACGAACACGATACAATTGTCTTTCACTGTCACCAGTTTTTTTTTTTAAAGAAAGATAACATAATATTTTCAACGTCACATCATAACTTGGAAACAACTTATCCCCATGACATCTGGCATTCTGCTAGAATACTACCTCAATAGGCTGATTTAAAAAAAAACCCTGTCAGTTAACACGTATTATTCTGGATTGTTGCATTTCTGTTCTGTCAGGGAATCTTGAAATAAGGATGGATGACTCACTCAATGACTCAATGAAGCTTTTTCGTCCCTTCGTGTTTATGCACATATTTTTTTTAAATCACAAACCATTACCTTTTAATGGCTAATCAAACGTTATCTAGTAAGAGAAAGAACACAGTCGAGAAATGACGCTTTTCACTCTTCATAAAAAAAAGTGATTCAGTAAGGTAAACGAGCCAAGAGAATAATTTGCGATCACATTCTTGTCATTAGCAGTAAACGGCGCTGCAAGAGACCATTTCTGAAAATCCGAATTTTAATACGTATTTATACAAAGAGGCAGCTGTGTCAAACGTACACATACTGTATAAATGCGCATATAAACACAAATAGCTAGCATGCTATTATTGTATTATTTCTACAGTATATAAAAATGCGATGCTAATCTCAATTATGGTGCTTGTCAAACTCCAGTTTGACTGTACTGGAAAAGCAATTTTGTTCTAACAGCTGTAGCAAGCCAAGATTCTTAATATATGTGATCAGATTTTTTCAGATATTGGAAGGTAAAACTGTATTTTGCAATCTTTTACCGTACTAACAGTCTTTTTTTGTATACATATAAAATAACTTGAATTCCCATTACCTGCGGACTATCTTCCAATGTCTCCTCTATCGGTAGTTTATCAATCCCAGGCATATTTCTAATTTATATTAAACTGAATGCAAAAAACGAAAAAAAAAGTGACAATAAACAATCACTCCCACAGAATACCAGAGACCAACAATATCCACAACACCCAACCCAGCTTTCTCCCGAAGCGGAAATTCCGCCTTCGTTTTTTTCTGATTGGGGAACATACTCTCCCGGAGATTTATATCATTTCCTTGTTCAGTTTCACTTTACGTCACAGTGTAATGACAGTGGACAGTGGTGGCGAAATTGAAGCCATTTTGGCTCTAAGAAATAGTTAGTATACCATTCTATACGTTTTATATGGAGCCAAGATGGCGATCACCTACGTTCAGTGACTTCACTATTCCCGATTTAGCGCTTTACTTCAATGATTTTGCCTCCGTGGAAGTAAAAAGGAAAACGACGATAATTGTATTGACCGCATACACCTAATGAGACTTGCAACTGTCCACTGTGAATAACACGGCAATAACGAGAAATGATCCATCCTTTTCACGTGGGCTGTTGTACAGCAAAAAAGGCTCAAAGGAAGCTTAATGATAATATAAGCAATCTAAATAATCCACCAACACAGATAGTCTTTATTACCATTCCTTTCAGGCATTGAAATTCTCAGTGCCCACTGTATAAAATTCAGTGTTCAGTCACTATCAGTCTGGAAATACTATCACACAAGATATAAAATCACCCAATTATTATCATCTTGGCATTGTGTAAAAAGTCAAGAAGACTCAGGATTTATGTATTTTATTTCTGAAAGGCATTAGCTAAAATACAGGGAATACAGAGCAAAGTAATAGGTATTAGAGTAACAGTGCATCTGAGATGGTTCTCAGATCTTGGTCTGTGCTGCAGAACAGCTGAAGTATTTCCATTGCCTTTAGCACAATATGAAACTGGTAGATTGTGAAAATCTTTAGACCCGTCAGAAATTGTCTTAAAGTAAAATCTGGCTAAACAGTGTCTGCATTGAAGAACATGATCTTTTAAATTTAAAGAGTGCACTCTACCTGAGATTGTGTTAGTAGATACATGCCCTGATGTTTTAACAAAAATGTAAGATCATCGACAGAAGGTTCTACTACTGTATTCAGACTTGATACTGGTCACCTGATTGTAGTGGAGTGTGACTCTACTTTCCAGTGTTTTTCAAATTGAACACCATCATTCATGAGTCTTATTCTCTACAAATACACCAAGCCGTATCAACTGCCAGACTCTTAATAGTTTTCCTTAACCAATATTTTGTTACCCTTGTTAATTTTAAAAAGAACACAGCGATGCAATAAATGTGTGAATTTGATATAACCTCCTATATATAATTATGCAGCTCATTTAGTACATAAGCATACCACGAAGCCAGCATGGGGAAACAAAATAAGAAACAAAAAGAAACAACAATAATAGAGGCATAAAGAATAACGCTGACAAGGTATCTGATTACAAAAGAGTTCTGCTCCTTTCAACCAGACTTTCCCCTTGGGCAAGAATGTTTCCAAGCTTTTCCAACCACCAGATATTCGAGAAATGCGATACGCTGCCTTGCAGGCTAAAGGCGGGGCAAGATCCCCTTTTCAGACTGTGTCTAGCGAAATGATGACATTTGCCAGCACAAATCTAGTTTCTTTGGGCTGATGTGATGTGACCGTGCCTAAGGGGAATCAGTCATATGTCATTATTCCACCCTCCTGTGCCCCTTGCTCTGAAATGATGACCCCCTTCCATTTCTCCGGGAAGCTCGTCGTGTGGCTTGGGGTGACCGTCCCTCAGGAGGCCTGGCGCAGGACAGCAACGGGAATCCGCTGCTCCCTGGACTGAGGAGAACCGAGGCCCGGAGGTGCGTGTGGTCGCTGGGGTGTCACCGCGAGCCCAGGAGGGTGCCCTGGCCGTAGAGGTCGTACTCTCGGTAGAGGACGTAGTCCTTGAGGCGGCTGGGCAGGGGCAGGAAGCTCATGAAGACGGGAGCTCGGAGCCGCAGGCGACCCAGGCATTGGCGGATCTGCAGGCGGCACAGGTGCTTCAGGCAGCGGGGGTTTTCTGTGGGCGGCGGGACCCTCATCAGAGCCACTCCCTCCTCCGTGGTCAGCAAGAACCCCCCCCATCCGCACACTCGTAGTAGAGCCTCACTCCCTTGCGTCACGAAGCCAAGCAAACAAAAGCAGGCAGCAGACCTGGTGTGTGACTCTGGCTCCGACTAGATTACCTGACAAGATGGATCTGTGATTTCCCATGACAGCTGGACAGTAGAATATGCCTTCTGGGATGGGTGCCTAGAATATTCCTATACCATGTGTGCTCAGTTACAGGGGTTAAATTAATTTTCTCTTTGTCTTGACATTTATGGTGAGTCAGGAGGAAGGCCCTCAAGAATCACTGAATTCAGAGCATGGTTTTTCGCAGTACTCTCCAGACCATTCGTCGAAATATACTGATTTAGATGTCAAACAATGGGTCGAATTTCAAATACCGCATCATTCATCTTGAATGGCGAAGCCTCTATATGCTTTGGTGTATTAACTGACAACTTGCTCCTTTTAGTAAGCTACACAGCCCTTTTTGTATTAGAGAGGTGTGGCCGGTGAATTTTGAGCACTTTTCAACACAGAAGACAGAAATCGGAAAAATCCTGCTTCGTTATGACAACAAAATTAGACGTCCACATTTAGAGGCTGGAGATAACAAAATCTATCGTATTTATTAGCAAAAACAAAAACAACACAAACAGCAACTGCTAAGTCACTAGAAGATACATTCCAGTGTTACCTTATATGTTTTTCCTCACAGGAGGAAAATACAGTCAGAGTGAAATATTTGGTTCATTATATCTGTAGCATTGGTGCATGATTGCTCATGTCTGATACATTCTGCGGTCAAATCATATCTGCACTTTGTACACTACTGAGTGGACGTTCTGAGTAATTTGTAGGTTTTGGGTACTTACTGGTGGAGGATACCCATCTCATCTAGTAGAAGTGTTTCACCTACAAGGTCATAATACCTCAAGAGCTTGACATCTAAATTGGTCTGAAAGGGAGAGCAGTGCTGATTAGTGCATTATTAACAACCTGTACCTTTCAGCTTGCTGCTAAGCATAAGAGCACACTTAACAGCCATACGCTAGAACAGTCACATGCAAGACTTCCAGGCCTCTCACTTACCTTGAATCTGACATATCTCTTGCCACTGTTTCTGTTCCATGAGAGCAGATTTAAGCTTGGAACAAAATTTCACATGATCAACATAATCTAGCATGATCCTCACCACTTGTCCAGAGATATACCTCAGCCAGTACACTGTGATCACCTCACAGAACTGCAGGAGAGAGAGAGAGAGAGAGAGAGAGAGAGAGAGAGAGAGAGAGAGAGAGAAACAGCCAGAGAGCCTTGTAGTGTTCATCTATCAGATCTCATGCCTCATGTGCCAAAAACAAAGGGTAAGGGATCATGGATTCATTCTGATTATCAAGTCTAAAGCTTGAAGAAAGCTTCAACACAAAGGTTTCCATACAGCAAGCTGTGCCAACAATTTTTTATCCCTCTACTCTCTATCATCATTTGAGTATTCATCTCCACAATCTGACACTGAATTCCAAGCCAGGTTAAATGTATGTTTTGCACATGTATGGCTGCACATGTGTGTGAATTTGACTGTGTAAATGAGACTGTGGTTTTCTGCTGTGTAGGCTGAAGACGCAAGCTCAATCAGGATGTAAATCTTCAGATGAGAGACGTACAATTCTATAAATGTTCATCAGTTCTTAATGATATTCAGCCATTAAGTTCCCCTGTAAAGTGATATAATAGGATATTTAACTCACATTATTGTTATGAATTGTTATAAATCCCTCCCCATACTGACCATCTCACCTCAGTCTGAGTACGGAAGATGCTTAATCAAGCGATACATGTTTTTAGACACTCACATAGGTAACGAATAAGAAAATTACTCATCACAAGAATAGTGAGAACAGGTTACAACTAATAAAATAAGAACTCAAAAGTAGATCTCAAGAAGTTTTACCTCATGTCATTATCTGACCGTGATCAAGGGTAGGGTGGAATAAGTCTATCGATGGCCTTTTTAAAATGTACTCATATCTAAACCCACATCTGGATTTGCTAATGTTTAAGATGCAGAAAACAAGCCAAAAAAGGCAATGTCCGTTATAAGCCTACTTTAAACATTATATTCTCTTTGCAGGACATGGCCTTAAAAATTAACAGAAGTTAGAAGAAATCAATTTAAAACATCTCAAAGACAGGAGAAAACTTAAAGAACAGTCAAATACAAAGTAAAACATCCTTTTTTTCTGCAATGGGATTCTGTCCATTCCATAAAATAAGATGAGAAGCATTGATTATCCACAACAGAAAATAAAATGCTATTGTTGTTTTTGATAAATATTCTTTAAATCTGAATGGCCACAAATAGCTTATATTAAATCAATTTTTTGTTTGGCAGCCGCAGTAAAAATAACTTATAAACCTCTAGCAGCAAAGCTGTAGAAGAAGTCAGGAAAGCAGGAAGGTGAGTGTGAATTTATGAATTGTCAACCTGGTAAGAGCTGAAGATTTTTAAGATTTACCTGTGAAACACAGTCATTCCCCATTTTTTCTAAAACTCACACTGTAACAACTCTTTTTTTCCTTTTAAACAATGACCAGTTGAGTTAATTACTACTTAAAATTTGATAACCAAATCATGTGAAACCTGTTGCAAGGGATCTGTGTCAAATGAACACATCGGCTCCCTGCGTATGTAAATGTGAAATGAAGGCTACATTAGTGTTACCATACATCTGGATTTTCCTGGATATGTCCTCTTTTTGCCCCTTTAAATCTCTTTAAATCTCTTTGCCCCTTTAAATCTGTATGGACCGAATTTTCAAATATCTTTAAATATACAGGTTTTCCATTATTCTTTTTCCCCTACAGGTTTTCGATTCAAAATGGTACAAACATCTACTGGTACGGATATCACCAGCGACCCCCGAGACAGGAGTGTCCTCTTGAGCGCATTTTGAAATACGGTAACCTGGATTTAATTGATACACAAGCAAACCCTTCTGCCCCGTCAACTGAATGTTCTCTTTTTTGAATTTTTGGAATTGACGGTAATCCTAGGAGAGTGTGCATGTTCTCCCCATGTTCGAGTGGGTCTCCTCTGCGTGCTCCAGTTTCCTTCCACAGTCCAAAGACAAACAGGTGGGTTAACTGGCTTCTGGGAAAATTGCCCCCGGTGCAATTGTGTACATGATAGTGTCTGTGCGTGCCCTGCCAGGGTCTGGCGCCCCGTCCAGGGTGTACCCCACCTTGCACCCATTGCCTTCTGGGATAGGCTCCTACTCCCCCGCGCCCCTGAATTGGATGAAGCAGTAAGAAAAGGGATGGATGGTAGCCCAGGGTACCTAGACCATGCAGCCCTCTTGCTTACCATGTTGTCCTTGATGACAGAAGGGGACCAGCCCTCGTAGTCGAGAGGCATGTGGGAGCCCTCACCGTACGGGCAGTCGAAGCAGCGGTGCACGTCGTAGCCGTAATTGAGCAGCATCCTCAGAATGACCTCGTCCTTGAGGGCGTACTGCAGGGAGGAGGGGAAGTGGGTGGTGTTGACCCGGCAGTAGTAGTTGACGTTGGAGCCGTAGCGCAGCAGCGTGTTGATAAGCTCGTAGTTGCCGAGCCGCAGCGCCACCTGCAGGCACTTGACGGGGTCCTGGTTGGGCAGGGCCCCGGCCTCCAGGAGCAGGCGGGCCGACCGCACGTCGTTGTTGGAGACGGCGAAGTACAGGGCGGACTTGCGCTGGTCGTCGTAGCCCCGGCGCACCCGGGGGTGCAGCATGAAGTTGACGTCGTAGCCGGCGTTCAGCAGCAGCTCCAGGCACTGCAGGTGTCCCCCGGCCGCGGCCGAGTGCAGGGGGCTCATGCCACTGTCCCACACGGCCTCCTGGTCCGTCACGGGGATCAGCTGCTCCAGAGCCCTGGGAGAGGAAGCCGCTCGTGAAGGACCCCAGACTGAGTCCGTGAGTCCACCAAGTGATTCGCATTTCTTATTTATCATTATGATAGTTTTGTGACTAACAGTAAATATTTGTAACAGCAAAATTAGAACTTCCAAAAGCGTTTTACTGCTGCTTTCAAACACTGATGTAGCCAGTGAAGAGTGGAATCAGTAAAAGAATGCTACCAAAGTTTATGTTTAGCATAAAACTCAAAGTAAACACAATTGTCGATAAACAGGTGTGTGGAAGTTAATAAATTACAACTGGAAATAGAAACACTTTGTCTTTGTTTTACAAGATGTGATGCCCTGATGAGCTCCGGGGCTCCTGCATCAGCACCCTCAATCACCACGGCGCGTTCCACATGTGGAAGGAGCTCATCAGGGCCATCGCTAAAGATAGCAGGCCGGGCTAACTATCCATCATCCCCTCCTGTCTCCAGCCCAGATCTGACTGTTTCCCCTGCGCATCTCAGCTGCCTGCTGTTCTCCTTTCTTCTTCCCATCACTGCATTGTTATCACCCAATCACATAAAAAACTCTGTAATCTTCACCACTAATCGGACTCTGAGGACAGTTACTTCGTCAATCCCTTTTTCTTTCCACCTACGGGCCCGGCGTAACAGAACCCTTCTCCCCTCCCCAGTGTGAAAGACATGCTGACAGAATTGTGTTGCCTGAACAGTCAGAGCAGCATCGCACGGCACATGACTGTGTAAATACACAGCTGGAGCTCACAGTAGGTGCCCGCGATGCGCAACTCGGTGGATGGGCAGGTGCCCCGTATGTTTGGGCACGTTGGCATCGGCTCCATACTCCAGCAGCAGGGAAATGGTGTCAGGGTTTCCTGATGCTGCTGCCTCAAAGAGGATAGAAGCAGAGTCCATGGCCTGGGACTTCACATTGGCACCTGAGGGATACAGGAACATTAACTCCTAACAGTTGAATACCTGCAATGTGTTATTATATGATGTCCTGGTAAAACAATTACACACATGCATTTTTGCATAAAAATATTTACACACCATAAGGAAATTTAATTTGAAAACTTTAAATATTGGCTGACTGATAGTCTTTTGGCTTCAGTAAAGCATGGAAAATAAACATACAAGATGAGTCCCAGACAGCGCCACAGCTATGAGGTCTAAGCGATGGAGTGATCGAGTAAGAAGCTTTGTCTTTCAGAAGCACACAGTACCTTTCTGCAGCAGGACCTGAACAATGTCTGTGTGCCCAAACTGGGCCGCCAGCGCCAGCGGGGTGAGCCTGTAGGCACTGCAAGGGTCGGGATCTGCCCCTGAGTTCAGGAGGAGCTGCACGAAGTTCCCCTTGCCCAGACGGGCTGCCTCGTGCAGGGCCGTTCGCTGGTTTGCCCCCTGTTGGTTGACACTGGCGTTGAAGTGGATCAGCAACGTTGCCATGTCGTACTGGTCATTCTTGATAGCTATAAGCAAAACAGTAGTTTAGAAGGCTTTAATTAAGCGGGTGAACATTATTATTCAGACAGATGTTCTTTCATCGTATACCTAATTCACGCTGTTTCTGTCTTTTATTGACAGGATTTCAGCTGCCGTAATCTTAACACAACGTATCTTTCTACCCGGTACATGTCGGCATTCTGCCATGATTGATAGCATTCATTGATTAGATGCTAAAATAATGCAGTAACATTTGAGGTAATGGTTTTGCCGATGAAAGACCACACAGTGCTTTCTTTAAAAGACTTCCAAAGAATCAATGAGTGGAGGGTGAGAAGCTCACCGGCTACTAAAGGAGAATCCTCTTCTTCGTTTTTGCAATCCGGGTTGGAGCCCTTGAGCAGCAGGAAGGTGGCATTGTCCCTTAGGCCTTGCACTACAGCCAGGAACAGTGGGGTCTCTCCACGTAGGGTCCGGCAATCCACAGCGCATGAGCCAGAGGCTAGGGCACAGACACGCACAAGCCAAAAGCTCAACCATTAAATCATGACAGAAATCTGTGTTATGGCTGAAAATGTCGCAAAATATTTGCCTTGGTAAAAGCTGGAAAAAACTGAAGTAAAGCACAGTGTAATGATGGTCATGGTTTATCACGGAGAGGTATGGTTTAGTATGAGTATGGGAACCATGGCAAAGATAAGTAAATGTACAACATAAGCAAGGCAAGAGTGAATGAAATCGCAAACTTTCATTAGGGAATTTACAAAAAATCAGAAGTGTAATCCTTCATAAATGGGATTACAACACTGCCTTCCTTTACAAAATTTGCTTATTTCTTTACAAAAAACAGCACAATGAACTGCAAGTTCTCTCCTCCCATAGAAAACCTGGAAAACTGTGGACGAAATGCATACCTGCAAAAGTGATCTCTAGAATTGTTTTATTGTTCTGGACAGCAGCCTCGTGCAGAGGGATCCAGCCTCTGTTGTCAACCTCTTTGAAAGCTTGCTGGTGAGTGGACAGCTGGCGCAGGGCTTTCTCATTGCCTAAGCGTGGAGAGACAGGAGAGTGAGAGAGGCTGAGGCATAGTGCTGAAGTGATACATGGCACCAGTGACTGGCATTAAGAACACTGCCCTGAACACAGCAGGTGTCCACCTGCAAACACATTGCGATTTGTAATTGTCACGGATGTAGGAAGGGACGAGCCATGGAATGGCAGGAGAGCGAAAAGACCCTATGCGTAGTGGCGAGACGGGGATTAGCCCGGGCTCAGCTGTTCAGGGAATGCCGTATAGAAACCTATGCCCTCAGGTAGCGGACGTGGGGCGACCTGGTGCTAGGTGGGTTTCAGGACATCCGAACGTCAATGCTGAGCGAAGGCAGAATGAAAGACCGGGAAATGTATAGCCCCAGAGAGAGAGAAACACCGGAAGGACAGCAAAGAAACAGAAATGAGAGACAGGACAGAGAAGGAGCGCCCTCTGGCTGCAGAGGGCGTGACAGTAATTTTGCATTGTTGCAAACGACTGATGGTCACCCTCCTTTCCTGATCACACAATGAGCGTGACATCTAGATGTCTGGTGAACTGGAGAAGGGTGATCACTGCAAATTCCAGCAGTTGTAGGTTCCGCATCAAAGTACACGCCAGTGTGAAGCACTACACGGGAGTCAGGACCGGCTCTCGTTACATTCACATTGTCCGTTCTTACTCACCTGCCTTTATAGCTTCAAAAATCTTTTCACTTTCTGTACTGTTAGCAGGGTACCTGAGGAATAAAAGAAATTGACAGTGTTATTCTCAATGGAAGCCTCACCAGAGACTAGTCTGGTTGCGGTGAAGTTTCCATTTAAACTTTCTTTATACTGCGAAATACAAAAATACCACAAAGAGTTAAAAAAAGTGATGGTTTTATACCACTCCTTACTGTTGACCCTTTTCTTGAATGCTGCACCTCTTTCACATTTCCTGATGTATTAATGCAGTAAAATGGCTCCACTATCATTAAGAAAACATTGTTTCACTGTCCTAAAGAGCAGAATAAACAACAAGGGAAGAAAGCAGGTTAGAGCTGCAAGCTTCAGAGATGGAATCACAGTAATTAGAGATTAACTCTGGACTGAAAAGTAGAAAGGTAAAATACACTCTTCAGTGGTGGAGCCAGGACACGGACAGACAGGGAAAAGAGGGAGATAGGTAGGTTAGGTCTCCTTTTCAGTCCATAAACACCCATGGGGAATGGGGGGCAAGGGCCACCATTTTTCTTAACCATCTGACACTGGAAGTGGAGGTGATGTGGTCAGCATCATGCTCCAGCCAGCCTATTACCCCCAGAAGGATTAACTCACAGTACTCATTTGGAAAACAGGCTGAGTGGACCTGGGAGCCACCTGGAAGGATTTAGAGCAAGCTACATTGCTAGGCCCCTACCTGGGATTGAACCCAGGACTTTCCTGTCAGGAGCTAGGTGCCCTTGCCATCTGAGCTACCACGGCTCTGAGGTGGAACGGGACAAGATAAAAAATAGATATTATAAGATAAGATCACTTTACTGGCCATTTACAATTTCTCGTATATGTATTTCTTCATTAGGAATTTGTCTTTTTTCACATACCCCCACTTGCTCTCCATGAGACACACAGAGAGAAGCTTGGGGTCAGAGCACAGGGTCAGCCATTGTACAGCGGCCCTGGAGCAGTTGGGGTGAAGGGTCTTGCTTAGAGGCCCAACAAAGAAGGATTCCTCTGCCAGCCCCAGGACTTGAACTGGCAACCTTCCAGGCACAGGCACAGATCCTTAGCCACAGAGCCACCACACCTCTTCTGATCCATAGAGAACATGCTTACACCCTCTCACAGGCGTATTAAACTTCAGTGACCCATAGTAAAAGAGCTGCATCATTCCCTATAGGTTTGGTAATGGATTCAGATGCCATAGGATTGGATTACCTGTAGCTGTCCTCTGTGATGGAGCCGACGCAGCCTCCTGCCTTTGGGAAGTCCTGCAGGCTCTGTTCAATCATGTACTGGGTGGCCACTTCCTCATCAAAGTCATTTTGTGCCGGACTGACATCCATATCAATCCCACATTCTTCAGCTCCCGCTCAGCTCAGCTCACTTTCTGGCAGGAGCAACACAACACATTCACCACAAAGAGGACCTTCTCAATTCTGGATACTGCTGCTGTATTCGTGGATGTATCCCACTAGAGCAGTGCATGAGCTGGAGGTAAGAACGACGTTTGGATTAAATGAATGGGAGCAGCCCTGCCCTGCTGGAGAACACTGCTGCCATTTTTTTTTAGATTTGACATTTGTTGATGTGTTCATTTTTTAATGACATATGTAAATATGTAATGTGTCATTTCTAAACAATCAGAGCAGATCGTTGGAAAAAATACAGGATGCTCTCTCCCTGTTTGTAAGTCTTTTTAGGGACTTTGACACAGTTACAATATGCTTACCTGTGTCCATTGATAGTAAATGGAATTTCTTTATAAAACATTTAGATAAACAAGAAACAAAGACTACACAAACAACTGGTGTCCTGATGTTGTCACTTTTCTTATCAATTAGAAATTTAGTATGCTTTATACCCACAGAACACCATTTCGGCACACTCTTCTCACAATAGCTGTTTCTAGAGCCGCTGAAAAATACACTGGTGCCAGTTTTTAGATCACACTCCTAGAAAAAAACAAAAGTAGAACTAGGTTCTGTGCTTCAGATCTTTCTCTGAAGGAAGTGTAGCATTCAGCTATACTCCTGTGACTACTATACTATACACCTGCTACTACACATAGCCTGAACTAATTTTTATGCAGAACTAAGAAAGAAAATCCCATTTCTTTCTTTCAGCTGAAAAACGTCTTAGACTTTAAAAACATTTCACGTCTGAACCAGATTCTTCAAAACTGGTATTAAAACTGTTTTCAAATGACAATTTACAAAATATCCTTTTCTTTAAAGAAGTCAAGGTATTCTCCAGAAAATCTTGTCACTGGAACCAAACATGCTACATGCTGTCCATGGAAGAAGAAAGCTAGAAATTAGAAACAGACATAGGCCAACAGGTATATATGTATATCTGTTTCACAGCAGCAAGCAATTCACACAGGTACCTCTCCAGCCCCTAACCAAAGGCTTGATGTTAAAAAAAACTCTCATTGTCCCACTTAATGTGGTGTTATTACAATTTTTTTACCTTTCCTCAATGGACTGTTTTGGTGTTGTCTTCTGCAGATGCAGGGTGGTCTCAGTTTCTCTTTGCTGAGCTATTATTACTATATGCCTGCTATAAATACCTGATCATGGGACAGTCCCAGGCTACCTCTCCAGTACCTCTCCATGACCCTGCTTGTGACTGCATGATCGTCAGCGACACAGGGCTTCTGCTCTGTATGTAACTCAGACAGATGTGAGACTGGTAGGCTGCCTCAAGTACATGTTGAAAATTTTCTGTAGAATGTTCTAAGCCGTTTGTTTAGAATATTCTAAGACATTTGAAGACTCTCTATCTTATGCAGTGTCCTCTTGTGTAAAAGTAAAGGAGTGAGTTCAAGACAATATTATCAGAAATTAAATGTTTAAATTTAAGAGAAAAAAAACTCTTCTGGAAATTAATTTATTTCTGTGTCAACACATAATCACAACCTAATGAGCAGGGGAATGGACTGACAGGCTGGTGAAGAAACAAAGCTTTCTACAAAGAGTCCTCTTTGATCCTCATAGTTAAACGAGAGGGTTTTAATTAACTGTAATGTGTATGCAGGCAATTGTTTAAAGCCCAATTAAATATATTGGGCTGTATTTATATATATTCATATATTTATCGCTGCTATTGGTTTAGTAAAAAAAAAAGAACGTATATTTTTAGTTAAGGAAACTGAGACAATTGTTATACTAATGTACTGAAGTTTTGTAAAATTAATGCAAGACAGTTCCAACACTTACTATAATTATATTACCTATAGCAAAAAATAAATGTTAACAGTCCATTTAAAGGTACTGTATTCTGTAGTACGGCATGTGTTTCTCTGTATTAGTAGTGCAATGCAGGACCTGTCACTGTGCGCTTGATAAGATGAAAGGGTTATTTCATGATTTGGCTTTCTGTCCACACTGCCTGTGCAGATTGCTGATAACTTATTTTGAAAGGAAATGGAAACCCAAGGCTGCTTACACAGACAAAAATACAAAGGAGTGATATTAAAGGCACAGAAAATAATTTATTGACTGTATTAGCAAATGTTTACATTGCGCAAGGACTTATACGTTGGTAGGTACATTCAAAAGCGTGCATTGAGTAAGATCAAGATTAAAATAAGCAAATTAAAAGCTCTTTAGATATTGAACATTCGTGAGATGTTTGCCATTTTATGAATCCCAAGGTACTCGCAGCACAAAAGATTAGTTCGAAAATAAATAACATATACTACAAATTTTATATTAAATGATTTATTACATCCAAAGAAAGAAATGTTGCCTTGCTTCATGTACGGACTTGCAAATGTAAAAAGAACAGTTAAGAGTTCTGTGACTGTGCTCTGCTGGAGAAGAAGAGCTGTGCCCCGATCAGTCATCCAGCTGGCACAGCAGCGCCACCCCTCGTTTCACCCAGTGTTGGACCCGCCTGTCGCTGGGCAGCAGCATGGCGATCACAAAGTTGGTAGAGTGCCCTGTGGTGGAAAGGGTGCCCTTCCTCTCGCTGGTCTTGTATAAGGGACACACATACAGATTGGAAGCCTTTTCTGAAGCCTTCTTCTTAGCTGAGGAGGAAGCAGACACAGATTTTTTTTACAATCTCACAATCATTGTCCCCTTTTTATTTTGAGAAACAAAGCATCTTGGGATTGCCAAGTCAGTCCATCTGAGTTGTGCCGTATACACAAGAGCTGCAGGATACATAAGAGGGTATAAGAATATAGGTATAAGAATATACACTTGTCCAAAACTTGTATTCGCTTCTGAATAAAGACAGACAACATTTCTACTTTTGCTGATGCAGTGAAAGCGGGAATCGAGGTACTTACTGGGCTTTATCCAGACAATGGGGACTGCATCGAAGAGGACTTTAGGGAACTGCTCTGCCAGAACCCCACTGTAAAGAATCAAGCAACAAGCACAACACTGAATATTTATTGACCGAGTTAATGTCAAATCAGTGCTGATCTGCCATATTATAAGAAGCACGAGATCAAACGCATATACATACGGTTTTAGGTATGAAAAAAAGCAAATGTCGGATAAGGAACAAGTAAAGGTTTAATCCATGCTGAAAAGAGAATAAGCCTTTCCTTGTTCCATTGCAGCCTACGCATGCTGATGCAGCTGCCTCCTCGAACTACAAATGTCTGATAAGCAGTTTTAAGAAACCTACAGTACCTTTTAGTTTACAATCGCCTCATATTAGCTTATTATTCCTTCTGTTTTAAAAGTAAATATGGTTTGCCAATTTCTCGTACTGACCTTTTCCTGTCCCAGCGGGCGCCGTCTAAGAAGAGGCCGTGGATATAGACTCCATCTTCCGGGGAGGAATCAGAGGTGTCATTGGGAAGAACCTGGCATGCGGATGAAGAGCAGTGAGATTACTGCCTTATCAATGTCTAAATAAGCGTTAGTGTGTGATATTCATTAGATGCTTTTCTTACATGCAGGTTGCCCTGGTAAAGCACATAAATAAGAGAAGAACAACAACAAAGCTGTAGATCAAAAACAAGGCAGTGAAATTAATCTTAATTATAATTTTGCTAAGGAGTTGAAGTCTTGTATTTACACCTAAATGTAATGTAATGTATAAATGTAATTTATAGCCTAAATGTGACTGCAGGTTGACTTTTTGGTCTTCATATGGTTTACATATACACATATTTTTATATTTTAATCACGGTAGTTAAACCTGCCTGGAACAGGTAATAAGTGAGGTCATTTTCTTGGGTTTGTTAATGAGAAGTAATAACTGTACTGTATGTCTATATTACAACTGCACAGTAATTGCTCAATGGATTGCTGCACAAGTAATCATGTCATTGTTTAACACTGACTTTCATCCTGAAAAATTCATCCCGAATTATCTGAATAACAGTCATGCAGTTCCTAGCTTGGACAAGAAGCTTATCCAAGTATTTAACCCTATTTTACTGGAGATCATCACCAGTGCATGTAGCAATGCAGTGTGTTAAATTACAGAGCTGTGCCTGAGGAGCTCCAGATAAGTGTACTGGTACCCAATGTGCTCTGTTCTTCAAAAAGTAAAAAACCTTCACCATATTGTGGTGTCCACCATGTTTGCTGTTCGTTTAAACGTGGAGTGCAAACACTTCAGTAATAAAACTGAACAAATGCAATTCATAATTAAGGTTGTTTATTTTATTGTTTTTACAGTGACTATGAGCATATTTTGCACACACCTACGTATTTATTTTATATTTATTTTGCATTACTGTACGTATTTTAATTTTTAGTCTATTCGGATGTCTGTTTTTGCTTGTCTTGGGCTGGGCTGCTGTAACACATCAATTTCCCTTCGTGATCAATAAAGTCTTATCTATCTGTTGTTGAGCTTACTAGCGAAGTGTGAATGTAACCTAAGACTCCCCCAAACTGTCCAATTCATAACAGTGCCAGAAAAGGGAACAAAAGGAAATTCCTGATAACCTTCACTAAGGATCTTTCAAAAGACTAAAAATGAAACAACTCAACCAAAGAGCTATTGAGAGTGTGCCTCACGTGTGGCATTACAGTGTGGCTTGGCAGCAATTCGTTGTCTGACCGGAAGGCGTTACAGGGGCTGACCAGGCCAGTCCAGTCCATCACTGGAGTACAGCTCCCTGCTATTTCGGACATCTTTAAAACTCGCTGTCTCAGGAAGGCTGGAAGTATCGCTAAGGATACCAATCGTCCTGGTTTCTCATTTTTCTCGCCTCTTCTCTCTGGTAGGCATTATAGGAGCATAAAGGCACGATCTTCCAGTTTCTGAGACAGTTTCTTCCCACAAGCTGGTAGATTACTGATCTTTACCCCTACCACTGGCTTGGACTGATATTTTTTAAGTTGTATGTTATTTAACTTGTTGTTGCTGCTGCTGTTCTGTGTACATGTTTTTGGCGATTCTTTTAATGTCTTTGTATTTTAGCATACATGCAAATAAGCATTTCATTGCACTTCTGCATATGACAATAAACTTTAAGGCGAACTGGAACTGAAGTACCTGGAAATCAAATCCTAGCAGGTCAATGGGGATGGAATATTTCCTAGCATAATTCTGCATGGCCCCAGTCAGGAAGGCCTGGGTGAAGAAGAACCCGGACAGCCAGAACACATGAGGCTTGTCATTCTCATACCAGTCCTGGACAGAAGCACACAAAAGCACAACGTTACAGAAGGTTACACAAGGCTACAAAGAACTATTACACTTGGGCACTGTTCTACGGAATGAGCCCTGCAAGACTAAAGTTATCGTAAATTACACAATTCAACACAGTATTCAAACTTTGCAATGTGTGCGCCATTCAATATCGAGATATTTTGCAAATCGCATTTTGTATTTATGCAAATTTGAGACTCATGCAAATGGCTCCTCTATAGAATAGACGTACTCATCACATACATTTTACTCAAAAACGAGTCATCTTATTTAATTTAGCAGTGAGAAGCACATTCCATTCAATAAACCGTTTTGCATCTTCAAATGCCTAGCAATACATTTCTTTGTTTAAAGAAAAAAGGTTATTTTCTGACAGCAGCTACAGTACAATATGTTATACATACGTACAGGGACACATTAATGTTTACAGCAGTACCTGTAAGAACTTAAGTCTGGCCAGGAAGTCAGTGACATAGCTGCCAAGGGGTTTGAGGCTGGGATAGGAGCGCTTGGCCCATTTCTCTGGGACCTTGCCCACCAGTAGGCTGCTGGAGATCGCCTCTAGCTCTGCATCCATTACCACCAGCCCCCTGATGGCCTTCTGGAGGTTCTGAAGGCTTGTGCGGATTGTTCGACTCAGCCTGCAATGGGACAGATGCGATTCGTACATTTAAAAATAACCATCTTTTGATCCGAATAATAAACGTCTCTTCTGACCTCATACAAAAAAAAAAACAAAAAAGGCAAAGACTTTTTACATCATTTATGGCTTCTGTTTAAAACACAAGTTTCAAATCCTTCTGATTATCAGTGGTTATCGTTACATTTGATAATGTCAAATAATCTCATTGACGTTATTTTCCCCCAACAAGAGTAACATCTTTTTCTAACTCTATGCTAAAACAAGTGGATTGACTATAATCACATAAGATAAGATAACATTAAACAGAGTGCAGTTAAGATTAGATAACCTTGCCGATAATGTGGATTTAAATCTGGAATTTGTAGCTTGGTAATCAGGACTCCCACTGTTTCGAATTGCCCTAATTTACAACGTTCACTGATTGGACATTGGGACGTGGATTGGAAACTGCGCAGCACTAGCTCTTACGTGTTGAACCTCTCCATTTCCTGCACCAGCACAGTGTTCATGCTCTCCTCATATCTCACAGGGAACTTTGCCAAGGAAGCCTCGATGTCAAAGTCCTTTGGCAGCTGCAAAAGAAGAGAGGAACAAATTATTATTAAGCAACATCTGCAGCCAAGTAGATTACAGAGACACAATATCAATTGCTTGGGTTTTTTCCCAAAGCAGTGCCCAGCCAGCTGGACAAGCCTGTCGCATGGACAGACCAACAGGCTCTGCTTGGGGAGCTGTGCACTGCTCGTTCGCAGTCCCCCACCTTGCTGAGGATGTCGTTGGCAATGTCGTAGAGGGTGCTGTCAGCCCCCGCACTAGCGCCCCCCTGTCGCGCGCCCCCCTGGGTCAGCAGCAGCGAGTCGAAGAGCAGCTTGGTCTGCTGCAGGTCTTTGGAGATGTCCACGTTCTCGTGCATACCGAACACCTCCGGGTGCTGGCTGAACGGAAGGGCCTACGGTGTAGAGAACGGCACGTTTAACCTTCGCAGGAGATTCCCAAGATCCATAGCTCCACCGCCATGTGTGATTTCTAACAGTGAACCACAATCTTGGATCCATATTGGATAATAGGGAATTGTTCATTTTATTAATAAGGCAGGCTCAGACAGGTGATAAGCATTTTGTTGCGAGATGACAAAGAATGGAGGGAGTGTGTAGCCAGTAGCAATTTAACTGATCTGATAAAACAAGAGCTTATTGAGGTCCTCATATAAATGAATCAGATACAGCCTTATCATCATAATAGACCAAATGGAACATTTGCAAAGACATCCATCCTATCAAATTATTTTCGAATGGGCAGCAAAATCCCTAATTCACTACCACATTTTTTCTGCAATATAGATTACTACAAATAGCCTTCCTTGTCAGGAAATCTGGAGTGGAAACATAATTTCACTCTTACTGCGGTCACCTTAATAAATTCAATATAGTCTTCGTAAATGGACTTCGGAGGAGCATAGTATTTCCCGCTGGGTGAGAAGGTATAACGAGGGTTTTCGATGATTTCGGGGTTGTAGAAATCTGCCAGAATGGTCATGAGGAGGCGTCTGTCCCAGTCATCTGTCACGCGGCCCCCATAGTTACACTCCCCTGTCAGGTAGGTGATAGCTTCAAAGGGCACCTGTTCATACTCATTTATAAAGAGCTGAAAAACAGCACACAGAGAGAATGCACACAGGGCATTGGAATACAACCTGAATTTAAACCCTGATATAATTTATTTTTAATGACGTCAATCAATGATCACTTTGTGGGTTTTAACTTTGTTGATCACACTGTTAAACCTGTTGTCTTGTGATCTTCCCAAGTTGCTGTACCTCAACATTAACGAATGTCACTGCTAAATGACCAGTCAGAGTATTCCTTTATTCTTGAGACAGTTTATAAGGTTTTAGTATTTCCTTTATAAACCTTTATCAACTTTTCAAGCAGGAGAAAATATTGACCTTTTTTTCGGCTGGAAATGTTATTACAGACATGTATATTTCGTATGAGAAGATCACAGTGCATTAGGGGGCTGTCATCCTTCAGATTAATCCAGCACTATACCTGTAGCTGTCTGATGCTGATACGCAGGTCTGACTCATTAAACCCATAGGGAATATTCCAGCCAAGGGGCCCAAACTTCTTTCTCTCCTGGACCAGAGCATGAAAGAAGCAAACCCCATACAAGAGCTTCTCCCATATCTGTAAGAAGAAAAAAGTACAAAACTAATGCCTTTCAATCACAATCCTGGGGTGTACATAAAAAGGTGCTTAAAAGAATATCATGACTAGCAGCTGTGCAATGAGTTGTTTTAAAAGTCCAAACATACTTTTTATAATCCTTCGTGCTTGACAAAATAAGATTAATTAATTTCAAGTGCTCTCAAATAGTTGATCACATAGATCCAATAATTTATAGAAATATCAAAAATTCTCCAAAATCAGATCTTATTAATAAGACATCAGAAATATGGTGCGTTGTCACTGACCAGCTCTTTGTTGGGGCAAGCACTGAAGAAATCAGGGTCTGAGACAGGGTCGGTGAGGTAGGATTGGAGCAAGTTCAGTCTCAGGCCTGTGGGCGGCTCATTGGTCATCTTCACTCCATTTTGCAGAATGGTCACTGGGAACTGAACACAACAACAAAACACATCTGTCGCAACGTCTATACCACCATTTGTCTGGTGCTCCCCACATCTGCATGAGGCAGTATCAGATCTGCACTTGAATTCATCATTGACTTTCCTTGGCAGTCCCTACGGTGTGTGCTAACTCTTGGATTTTAATGTAATTTGGGAAATGGGCCATTTTAGTAACAATACCGCAATACCAGAATCCGCGAAGATCACCAATATAAAGAAAAGAGGTGCAGACATAGATCATCGTAATCCACATAATATATCACCTTCATCTCATCTCAGCATTCACCCTGCCTAGTAAATTATTAGCAGTAAAAGAAAGAAAAATAATTCATTTGCAGGCACATGTTAGTCTAAAGGTTCTAGGTTCTCGAAAGCTAATTATCTGCATGAATTTTATGTATCTCTAAAACAACAATAGCTTAAGACAACACCCAAAGGTCATTTTGTCACATTAGACACAATATAAGATTGTGTTACAACTATAGTAATATATTCACAGAGGTAGTAGAATAAGAAGGCTCTGTATTTTCTAGGCCTGCTTTCAGGCAATTGGTGCTCTAATGCAGCAGTGCATGAATTTATTTATATGATGCCCTTAATATTGTGGGCATGAAATTTGTTATTCCCCCACACAGCAGCCACCTGTCATTTAAAACCTAATCAGCTCTTAGCACAATACGAAATTTTAGTTTGATCAATGCGACAGATGGGCTTGAGTTACACTCAACTGATATGTCAATAAACCTCTTCTCCAGTCCGTAACAAACACACCAAGACGGAAGAGTAAGCGTTGGATGATAAATTATGTAAGTGGGGGAGAATAAGAATGATGTTTTGTACATGTAACAGACCACATTAACAGTAAGTATTGGAATTATTGGAGGCATTGGTGAAATTCAGTTGCCTGCAAATTCTTCATTTCTTTACTTGTTTTATAAAACAAGGAGACACCCCATGATGAAATTTCAAAATCTTCTTTTTAATCTTGTTTAAGTCCACGTTTCTCTGGATTTTGTGATAAATATAAGTTGTGACTATGCCCCCCAGTTTTCAGTCTACTGCTCTCTACCTTGGGAGATGGGTAGCTGGTGAGCCAGAGCCGAAAGTCAGGGTGACAGGTGTCAACACTGAACTCCTCACAGATCTTCTCCAGGGTGGGCATCCAGGACACGGCAAGGTGGCAGTTCTGCAGACACACCCAGGTGCCCTCCTTTATGGCGGCGCTGATCATCTTGGCAGCGATAGGACCCTGCCCCTGTCCCAGGGAGATGGACTGGAACTTGGAACCTCCCATGTTTTTGTCATTGGCAAACTTCAGTAGGCCTGGGAGCAAAGGTGGAGAGACAACGGAATGAGTGACAGGTGGAGTTGACAGCCCATAATGCCAGAACCTCACTTCTGCTTTTGCACACACTGCCTCATCTTTTTGTAACTCCTGCACAGCTAAATACAAAGATTATGATGACATGCTGTGAACCGGAATGATGTTAAAAGATCCCTGCAATTAAGCACAAAGGTCTCTGCCTTACAAGGATTATGCAAAAGAATCATGAATCATGCCTACTTGAAATTCAATGGCACTTGTTTAGCATTGAAATAACAATGCTTTAAGATATGTTTTAGTATAAATCAATACACGAAAATGCTGCTTATAAAAATGCAATTCATAAACGTTGCAAGCCACCCAATTTCAGAAAGAAAAATATCTCTGATTATTTTTTCAAGGCCTATCCCACAAAACAGTATTAATAAAGCAACCATGGACTAAGAAGTCTTGCCAGGTCTTCGTACTCACTGGCCATGGGGTCAGCTCCTGGCGACAGGATGAAGACAAGAGGGATGGTGGAGTTAGAGTCTAAGTAGCTCTTAGTCAAGTCGAAAGGTGGAGGCTCTACAAACTTCTTCCCCAGTTTATCAGTCACATAGTTTGTAATAGCTGGTGTGATCTTAAAAAAAAACAGGTATAGTGGTTAAAGTATTAATTCATGATGTACTCGGCATCAGACTATCAATCAAACTAAAATGGAAATATGATATATATTATATTACAAATGATGCCATTCATTCTCAGTTATGTTGATTGGAAAGTGATGTTTGTTAAATTCTCAAAATTGTATCAGATTCGTTGTTCATCAGTCTTTTGCCTGGAAAGTGTCCACATAAGGGACATCTCATTGTTTTCCAGTTTTACATACCTTGTCAGGCCTGAGGCATCGAAAAATGATAATCTTTTGAAAGTCATTGAGCTTCTCGTTCCAAGGTTTGGGTAAGGGGGTATTGTATGGCTCTTTGCTGTCATAAATTTCTAGAAAATTCTCTGGATACTTGCTGAAATCCTCCCTATTACAGGAATACACAAAAAGAAACCACTAATGCCCACAAACACATTTTTCAGGTTTTTAAATTTAAGACTGTAGCATCACCTATTGACATATAGCAATACATATGGTATGTTTCTATAAAAAACAACATATGAGCCAACACTGTACTTACTGCATGATGCATTCAACTATGCCAGAAAATAGACTAAAGTTAATACCATATTCACACATATAAAATGTGTAATATTTGAATACTAACAATGACAAGGACAGGACTGTAGTGATGTGTGCCTGACAACAAGACTTAGCTGTGTACAGGAACTTTCACAGAAACTGGTTGGCTGCAACGTCAGTGCCTGTGACCAATACAGGTTGAGTAAAAGAAAGAGAAAGATATATCTGTGTGCAGTGAGTCTCCTAAATTGTTCAGGTTTGTACTAGGGTGGGCAGGGAAGCTCTTAGTTGATATTTTCCAGTTATCATGAATTGTTTTTAAATAGAAATGACTGTTTATAACAATAAATTGCACAGCAGAACAAAGCACATTCCTGACATTTAATGCAGACAAAGAGAAGGGTGACCCTCTCTTTACGTAGCTTACCGGAGCCCCTTGAGAGCAGGCAAGTCACTGGCTCTGCAGATCTCATCCCAGCTCCTGTCCAGCAACCAGGACGGATCTGGATTGGGCAACTTGTTCTGCAGGCCCACTCCTCCCGTCAACAGGAACATGAAGTCCGAATAATCTATCTCCTTTTTAGCCCTACAAAAAACAGGCATGAATGGTGGCATAATCATATCATAAATGGCCTACACTGTCTGCTGAAAAAAGGATCTAATGTTCCTACCACCCTTGGCAGATTTATATTAAAACCACATCAAGCACTTGACACAATATCATCCCATGCCTCTAGTAGTAATGCTACCATCTCACCATAAGCAGTTAGCAGTTAATAATAATTAAAGCTATTAATTAATTTAAATAAGCTTTTAATTAATTTAAAACTCGACCATGTGAAATAAACAAACCTATACATACAGAAAGCACAGCCAACATCTATAAAATACTGCTGGTCTTGCATTACACGTATTTTGATTTTCAGGAAGACAGGAACAATGCAGATATACTGAACCCCTGTTCAACTGCAACAGATATCTTTGCTGAAATTATTTAAAGATTTAACATTTTCCACGTGCTTCTTTTTTATATAGCAACCGGATTTACACCTCATATAGAGTATTTCACTGATTGGTTATTAATACTCCACAGAGCAGGAGCTTCTTTCTTCTAAATTGCTATATTGGTAACAAGCTTAAAACAAAAGAGAGTGACTCACAATAAGAGGTTGCAGCACAGCAGGAAAGAGAAGAGGAGCTTGTCTTTTTCAAACAGTGATCGGCATACATTGCAGTACAGGTTGTATGTGAAGTGATCATTCAGGTATCTGAGCCTTTTCTCCAAGATCTTGGACTTGTTACTGAAAAGAAATGGATGCAGTTTCTTTAGAGATACACAAGAGGGAGCAAGAGGTCTAAACTGTGTGTGTTGTTGTTTCTGTTTTATTGTTAATGTCATGAGTGATCTGTGCATTAAATAATAGAAGTATCACCAAAGCTTGAAGTCCACAGGACACTAGTTTAAGCCACTAGTATATGCTGAAAAACGCATAACCTTACAGTCAAGACTACATGCAAAATAGGTGGGTACAGTACTGAAAAGAAGACATTTTAACCCCTATTAATCTGTAATGTTATGCTTACTGATGTTAAGATGAAGACATTTTCCGTGATTCCATATGGCAAGACTAGGTTAAAAATTTAATTTCGAGATTACTATATGCAAGTTGAGAAGACAGCCACTACAGAAAAAAAAACCTTGACTGCACCAAACATTCAAACTTTAATTCCTTTTTATTCATACTTTTAGACTTCCTTTTTCCCCGTCCCTCAATGTGACCTCATTGTGCGTTTGACTGGTTATACATTTAGAGGCTGGAATCGCAAAATAGTAGTCGAAAAAATCAGAGCTCTTTTATATGCTGTCACAGATGCTCCTTGCTGCTGGTTTATCGTGGTCTACGCAATACTGCTAAATTCTTCACATCCTACTTCACACAACAGGTAAGACATTCGAGTGAGTAGCTGCGTCAGCATGCGTAGGCTGCAAAGGAACATTGAAAGGTTCATTCCATGATGAAAAATATAGAAAAAAAAAAAGAAACATGACGTTTCGGCTGTGGATCCTTCTTCGGGTGTGAGGGAGAGCGGGAAAGTAGCAGATAAATAAAGCGTAGGAGAACAAAAGACAGAAAGCAGAGGTGAGAAGGGGTGGGGAGCAGTGAGGAAAAGGGCAAAAAGCAGGAGAATGAGTGTCCAAACTCAGAGAGAACAGGAGCAAAGGTGGAAAACTGAAACCTGCAAATGAATGGAATTCATTGTCTTGTGTTTGTTTTCTACCGTTTACCTTTCAGCATGGAATTGAACTCTACCTGTTCCTTTATAGCACTTAAGATGCAATGCCACTGAAAAAAATAATTGTGTAAACAATACAAGAGTTTGGGTTTAGTGAAATTTACCTGGCTGGAATTCAAGTTGGGAAAGGCTAAATGTGCTTGTTCTTTCCACACTAAAGGAGTTCCAACATACAATTAAATGCTCCCTCCTGACCCAGTGAATTTGCAAATGTAAATTAAATTTAACAGCAATGAAGTGTCTTAGCTTGCTGTAACGCTGTAACTCTCACCTTTCCTGGATGGAATTGATGTAGAGGTTGACAAACCAGTTGAGTGAGTACTGGTACATGGGGTCAATGTTGGCCAAGTCAGCAATGCTGAAAAACAGAATCGAAGAGTGTCTGGCTATAGACCTGTAGCCCTCGCGTGACTCTGCAATCTTCTGCTCAGTCTTCTCAGCAATCTGTAGAAAGACAGAATAAAACATAAATAAAAGACTGGTCAAATGCGTCATGTGGTTCTAATTTGTTCTTCTGCTTCAGTCTATGCTAATGACTCACACAATAAATTACACTGATTAACCAGAGGCAATGTGAAATGTGAAAACTAAGGATCAGGACTTGGAATATTCATTCTACAGGGCTCACCTGTAAAAACAGTCTCCACCCTCACATTATCCCTGCAGCCCTACCTGCTGCTTCTTATTGATCTCATTGGACATGATCTTGGCTGAGTCAAGGATCTGGATAGCACTCTCGTCCTCCAGGATGTTGCCTTCAGATGACTGCAGCGTCTCCAGGATTTTATCCTCGGTCTCTTTCAGCTGCCTCTTGTTGGTGGCCGACTGCAGGATCAAGGCATTTCTTTCTTCCTCCAGCTCGGGCCTGCACACCACCCACAAGGTCATTAATACACCCAGTGCAGCTCTCCCCTATCTCACCTCTCCATCATATATTTGTACATTTGGAAGTTCTTCTTTTCATATATTAAAGTACAATTTCTTTTGTTATTCAGTGAAGTTAAGGTTAAGTAAAGCAGCTATTTGCTTTTTCTGAAGTCTTTCCTGTAATACAAGTTAAAACATGTGACAAGTGACAAGCTCAACAACAAAAACATTAAAACAATCTTCAAAGGCAACTCACGACCTGAACAGTTCTGTAACTCAATTAAGGAGAAAAGAATAGCATTCACTCTACATTTTCCTTTTCACATTCTCTTTGAAGTTGACAAGTGGTAATGAAATAGGGAAACATTATATTCTGCACACTGTAAAAGTCATGAATTCAACACAGCTGTTTTTTCTCCTCATTTTAAGCAGTGTCTCTTGTGTGCTTAACACACCCTAAGATTTCCATTTGACAGTTTCTGCAATTCCTACTGAAAAATAAAATAACATTGCTGCTAATGCTTAGTAAGAGATGGACAGATAGCGAGAACTGGACAGCCAAGGATGATGGTTTTCATTACTGCAATGCCACCCACCTTTCTTTAGCAACTACTATGCCAAGCAACTGGTCTTCTAGGCCCTCGGGTGTGATCATGAAGTTCAGCAGGGACACCTTGGTGGCCAGCTCAGGCAGGTAATGAGGGTTTCTCAGCTTGGTGGTGATGTAGAACCGGAAATCTCTGGAGTACTCAATAATGCTTTCCCCCAGTCTAATGCAATCCACGCCACCTAGTGAGCCAATAACATTTAATCATTTAAGATTTCCCCTTTTCCAGTTTTCCTTGAAGCATGTGTTAAGTGAACATTTCACTCTCAATATGGTAGTTATGTGAACAGTGGTTCTTATTATAACAGGTAAGAGCTGCATCATCTAATGCTCCAGATCTGAGGTGTCCTACCTATTGAGAGAAGAAGGGAAACTAGATATTAAGTAAGTAATTTCTGTGGTTTTGACATAGTTTTCAAGTGTCCCATAAGCACCTTGTTTGAAGATCTGCTTGAGCAGCAGAGGTTCCAGAGAAGGGTCCAGTTCTTCGCCAACATTCTCCAGCAGCAGAGGAGTACCAAACTGGATACAGTTCTCTAGGGTCCTCATGTAGTCCTGGTCAGTCAGCTTGATCACATTCAAGTTGTTCTCTTTCTCCGAATTCTTCACCCACTTGTTGGCCTGGCCCTGAGGGTCAATCATTAAAGGCCTAAAAGAAAGATAATGAAAGTCTTAAAACAACCACCCATCTCCGTTCTTCTCTCCTGCTTTCAGAATACCTACAGTATGTTTCCCCATCCATGTAGGTGAGCAGTAGAAGGTGAATCATGTAACCGGATCTTCTGTAAATGGATTTAGTCCATTAGCCCAGTAGAACATAATTTCATGACAGCAAATGCAAAGAAACCTCTTCCCTCTTCTTGCATAAACATAAACTCAAACATAAAATGTGGTTTTCTCTCCTGTCCCATACTGGTTACTGTTGTAACACTGTTTTCGTAGTAGTGAATCTGTGATCTCTCGCTTCTCTCTTTGTAACCCAACTTCACTGTTATATTTACTGTGAATTTGCTTAGAGAACTTTAGCTACTTGTAAAAATGCTATTCCTTTAAAATAAATTCAGTTGACTCCTATGATTTCTTAGCCTCAATTGTAATTCGAATATCTTAAAATTGTGACTGTTTTGCATCTGAATTTGGCTTACACTTCAAAGTTTCCACAATACAAAAAGCTATGGCATATTATGACCTATAGAACTCAGTAAGGGTGATAGCAAAGAAAATGTAACTATTAATGTTGTTTTACAGATAAAATCATATAACATACTCTTAGAAGTCCCTATATTATAGGTAAAGGTGGTGCCCATTCTTACACACCATCGCCTGGAGTTGCTCACAATCACCCCGTTGTCAATAGAGAAGCTGTCAGTGGGCAGCCCAGCAATGTTCCAGGCTCTGATCTTAATGGGATCGCCCAAGGTTTTACTGAGAGAGAAGTCATCAGAGGATGGGATATTTTTGGTCTGGATAAGAAACAAAAAAATATATTAACACTATAGCACAATATCTGCATATTGCATATAACATTGTACCATCACCACCATAGATGTCGTTATCATAATAAAGATGATACATTTCTTATAAATACATTTAATGTGCAGATAGATATGCAACGTCCAGGTAACTAAGCACTAATTTACATTGAAACAAAAATGTCCAACTGCTTTTGGTAATGACAATTGCAAATAATTTAACTTGTCAGATTCCGATGCTCTAACTTAATTGTCATCCCACAAAGTTGCATAAAATCAAATTCAACAAACCCAAATTAAAGTCTTGGTTTTTTAAAGTTTTGTTTTTAATGTTAAATCTTGGTTTTGTAAAGGTTTCCATTATCAAACCTTGAAAACCGTGGCCAGGTTATTTCCACTGAGATGTTGGAATTTGTCATTTGGTTAGCAGTCAGTAAAACTTTTAAGAAACTGGGGTGATACAATGGGGTAAGATGCAAAGACCTTGCAGACTTTGGTCCAGTTCTTAGTGCACTCAAGACGGAAGGCCGCAGTAAAGGCACCAAGGTAGGCGATGACCCCAGCAGAGATCAGCACGTCCCCTGTCAGGTTGTCATAGGTATTCTGAAGGTCTTCAGCAGCTTTAGACCACCTGTGGATTTAAAATATGAACAGCATTAGGCTTATACTGAAGTAAACTGTTGTGCCAAACAAAGGGCATCAGCCGAGAGTTTGTGTGTTGAAAGTCATTTTTATTTCATATGCATATGGGAGTCTTGCTCTTGTATGCAAGACTCAAAACACAATGCTTACAGTGCTCCTTTATACTGTGAAACAAACGATACAAAATACACTACCACATGACTCTCTGCTTGCATTGTGGCTATATATGGTCATTCTAGAAAGCTGACCAGTACATATATTTTCTTTACTGCTGGCTTGCGTGACAAGCAGCCCCTTCTGCTGAACAGACCGTTTGTTCTAGGAGAGGTCACTTGGTCATTTCCCTGAGAACTATGCCAGCTATGCGTAAAGATACAATGTGGCTATATTATCTTTTGAGACCAGACATCCTGAGATGGAGTTAGTAAAATATACAGAAATACAGAAAATACAGAAAGTACAGAAATACATAGTCAACAAGATGTAATACAAACGATGAGTATAAACTTTTAGTTAATTCCCTTAAACCTATTTGCGTGTTATTTTCCACCTCCAGCAAAATTAATAATAACATTCACACTTTTAATGACACACATTACTTCTTTCTATTCTTGGAGGTGGTACCCACCATAGGCACCACAAAGCAAAAACTGATTAGTTGGTAGCTGATAGATTACTACAGACTAGTTGGGTACAAAACTTCTCTTTCAAATGAGAACTTGATCCTGACCTGGTCTTTTCCCCACCCAGTCCTCCAATCAGTTTCTCGGCTCTCTCCAGCTTCTTGGCACATAGATCCACCTGGAACTCCAGCTGGGCTTTCTCCTGGGTCTTCTCTGCAAAGGTCTGCTGCAGGGCAGCCAGCCGGTCCTCCACCTCCTTCAGCTCTGCCCTCTTCTGGTTCAGAAGGGTCATGGTCTCCGCCAGAGACCTCTGGGCCTCCATCAGGTTTGCCTTCTTTGGGGCTACCACCTTCATGCCACAAGCAACAAAGGCACAATAACTTACCTATTAACACTGAAACACTGGTAATGGCAGTAACAGGTCCTGTTGTGCACTTGTAAAGCCAGATCAGAAACAAATGATGCAAAAGCTCTACCTTCACAATGCTTATTTTCATTCTCTCTGATTTTACTGAGGAGTTAGAGCCTTTTTTCCCTTAAACACCCTGCATTATATTCTGTTTTTTTGGGTGAGGTGAGCCATTCAAAGGGACAGAGCGAGGTTCAACCAACATTTGCAAGGTTATTGTGGTCATCAAATGAGAAGAAAATTCCCCTTCTAATTTCATAAAGATCTCAGAAAATACAGGAGTTGTAAACTACCTTTTATCCTATATTGTGCTTTTCCATGAACACCACGACAGGAATTTCAAGAAAGTTCAATGCAATCATAAAAGAACTTGTGACTCAAGTTGAAGAAAATAACAATCATGGGTCATATTATTTACTCTTTAACCACTCCTGGTAGTGCCACCATACTTTCAGGAAGAGCTCACCTTGGCAACACGGTCATAGACCTCCATGGCCAGGATCCACTTGCACAGGCCCTCGGCTGCAGATGAGGCTTTGGCCACTTTGCTGGGGTCAAAATCAGGGTTGGTGATGTATTCACTGCGAATCTTCTGCATCACGGGCACCTAGCACACAAAAGCAAAACCGTTTTACATGCAAGAGAGAGGAACCTCACAAGGGTCAAGTCTGAGGTAAAAATCAGATTAATGACTTTGAGGAAGAGACTAAAGAGGCATAAATTCCACACCTTTCTGTTATGTATGAAATAAAAAAAACGTACTTACTGGAATATTGTCTTTGTCATACACTTTTAAGTCTCGCAGGAAATTCATGTCTCCCAAAAGCTTCTTACTTGGACCCCAATAGTCCAAAATCTAATAAAAATTAAAGAGGAACAATAAATTTGTTATTGTCTGACCTTGTGCGGGCCTCAGTAGTGTATAAAAAACACCTTACTTTTTTATCCTAAAAAGATTGTTTTCCAGGATTGCTCCCCGTTCTCGTATTTTAAGCACCTTTTATTGTTAACTCACTTTTATGAAAAAATGAGAACCTATTTCAAACCCCCCCCCCCTTTCATATTTACTCACACTCCATTTGCAAAATTCTCAAACAATCCAAAGTCATTCCTGTTTGTTTTTTACCTTGCAAACTATCTTTTCAAACCTAAAGCTTCAATTTATTGTATGACCACAATAGTCTTCAGACATCTACTGTAGAATGGAGAAAAAAAGACAACTACAAGACTGTGACTAAAAAGTCTGTACAATCCATCACAGGAGACCCACTGAATAAAAAAAAAAATTAAAGCAGAGATACAATAACGAATCAGAAGCCCCAATGAGATGTGACACAGTTTGTAGGCACACAATTATTTTCCCTAAAGTAACAAATATTTCTAAAATAATACTTTATGTACACTATTAAAACATTAGTATTATTACATTAGGTGACTGCATTTTGTATTACTTAAGTTTAGGAATTCACAAGTCATTTAAAGCAACAGCTTAGTGGATCCCTGAATAAAATATTTATCTGAGGATGGACAAAAAGACCCAGTAGATACTAAAGGACTCAGTGAACGGAACCGGGCGTCCCCAGCAATACAGCCAGACTCACCTTCTGCCCCGTTCCATCAGGGTCATTGATCTTCTCTGGCTTGATCTCCTTCATCACACAGACAGCGGACATCACCAGCTTAACTCCAGATGGGGGATTCTTCATGGATTTAACAATGGTAATGTCAGAAGGCTGGAAAGGATACACATGACGTATTGGGAAACCAACCTTTACAAATGTTACAGTTTGTTGTTTACACAGAGACTGTGTAGAATAATGAAAACTCCAAAAATACAACATACAGTAAAGTACAAATTTGTACAAATGCATATATATATACTGTAGCATTTGCATTATGTACAAAGAGGAACATATATAGATGTCTAAGGCAATCCTTGTCAGTACTGTAAATACTGTGTACTGCAATATTAAGTATTGGCAGTTTCTACAGTAGATACTACAAATTTGAGCTGGATTATACAGTACTGGATATTCTGAGACCATGGAAAGTAAAGTGCAATGAAAATACAGTGTACTGCAGTGTCACTCAGAAAAGTACAAAAGCCTATTAGCAAAAAATAATTTATTGTGTTTGAACAAGATAATATTGCATGGTGCTAATAGATTTCAGTAGAAAAGCGGTAATCAGAAAAGATATGTGCAGGCTGCAGTGATCAGTACATTTGCAGAGCCCTGGTAAACTGTTACCTTGAGAGTGTCCAGTGCAGACAGAGCTGCTTCCAGTGCAGGGATGGCCTCTGCCAGGTCACTTTCACACTCGTCCTTCAGAGCCTGGGCCTCATTGGCCTTTAAAGTAGCAGCTTCCTCGTCCACACGCACCACTTTGCTCTTGGCCTGTACCTCTGCAGACTCCTTTTCTATGATCTACAAAAGCGCCACAGAGGTTCAAATGCTATCCAAAAGGGCCGGTGGTTTAATGATCCCATTTCTGCAACAGAGTGCCGGAATTTTTGCTTTACCTACCTTCATCATGTTTGTGTTCTCAATCTTAGCCAGCTCCAGTTTAGGCTGCAGGTCTACAAGCTCTTTTTTCATCTCTCCCACCTTAAGGAAGAAGATCAGCGCAGTCAGTAAAGTACTTTGTGTAGCAAAATAGCTGAGGCACTGTAGGGCTACATGAGGAGTATAGACTTCAAATAAGAATCTGCATTGCAATCTGCGTTGTCTTATTCATTTGTTGTACCACTACATCTCTTGAAAATGGATTGTACATGGCCTAATGTACTGCACAATGTACCTTTTCATTCTTTAAGAAGTTAAGATAGCAGTTTAGAAAGTTTATGTAATTAGAAAGGCCTATTCGGTCAAAAGCTTGATTTGTTATGAATGAATTCTTAGTTCAATGTGTTCATGAAATAAAAATGAAATACCGAGGAACGTCCTCAAAGTGCACTTGTCATTTTTTACATGGCTTGTACCTGAGACTCTGCGAAAGCCAGTTTATCAAGACCGTTGGTGTACCTCTTCTTGGCTTTCATCACCGTGTCTCGTTTCTGTGTGAGGAGCTGGCGGAATGCAGCAATGAGCTCAAGGTAGGAGGTGGGCGTCACATAGTTGTGGCGGCCCAGGTTGTGCAGGAACCTGGGGAAACACAAAACGTGCACCGAGACTCTCAGGAATTAGCTGAAATGAATTAATACTTACTCTTACAATACTGTCTTCTGTTTGTTCTAATTGTTACTGAATGGGCCAGGACAGGCACATTACAAAATCAGTGAAGACTGATGATGGTCATTTTGAGAGTATGGGGCAGGTAGCCATCCTGGGTGGGGGTGGGTGGGCTGGAGACTGTGATTTGGCAAGTTCCCATTGGAATATTATGGTTAGATGTTCTTACTGCACTCTCTGGTACGTTATACAAAAAATAAAAATCAGTGCACAGATGATTAACAAAACGTGATTGTTGAATAAAAACACAGATTTGGTAAAGATAACCCTGGTAACCTGGTATTTAATTTCAGGCATAAAGTATCTTAGGCCATTGTTCATGTTGCGTTATCTAAACCTTGATTTTAATGCAAGCATAGAAGGTCGCATACCATGTACGCTTTGACCTACTAAATAATTTGATGATTTCAGATAAGCATCTTTTTTCTATTTTCCTTTTTTTTATATTAGAGAGCAATTCAGGACAAGACCTGAATATTGATACAGCAGCCAGTCAGCTTAACTACTTTGCGTTGTCCAGATTAAAAGCTATGTTTCCTGGGATACATCCAAAAACAGCAGGTAAGGAAATCTGTGTAGAGTTTATTGTAAGCAGATTTTCCTTATATAACATGGCATAATTAAAGGTGGAATGGTAGCCTACTGATTCTGAGTCTGAGGCTGAGACATTTTAAGACTTTTGAAAAAAGGTGCTTTTTGAAAAAGGTCCTTCAGATGAGACGTAAAACTAAAGTCCCGACTCTCTGAGGTCATTAAAAATCCCAGGATGTTTCTCGAAAAGATTATGGGCGTTACCTCAGAGTCCTGGCCAAATTTCACATTGGCCTTTACCAAGCATGGCCTCCTAATAATCCTCTTCTATGAACTGGCTTTATCAATCTGTTCTCCCCCACCTAGTAAATGCTGGTGTGTGGTGAGTGTATTGGTGCAATATGGCTGCGTTGCATCATCCAGATGGATGCTGCATATTGGTGGTGGAGGGGAGTCCCCATTACCTGTAAAGTGCTTTAAGTGAAGTATCCAGAAAGTGGTTGTAGTTGTGGTTGTTGTTGTTGTTGTTGTGGTTCTTGTAGTTGTGGCTGTTGTTGTTGCTGTGTTTGGTATGGCTGTGGTTGTTGTGGCTGTTGTTGTGGTTGTTGTTGTTGTTGTTGTTGTTAAAGCAAGAGTGGCTTGTTGGCACAGTGGTTAGTGTTGCTGCCTCAGGCGCTGGGGGCCCCAGGTTTAGTTACAGACCTGGGATGCTATCTGTGTGGAGTTTGTCTGACCTCCCTTTGTTCGCATAGGCTTCCTACAGGATCTTCAGTTTTTTTCCACAGTCCAAAAACATACTGGTAGGTCAAGTGGCCCGGGAAACAGATCTGGGAAACTTGGCCCTAAGTCTGGGTGTCTGCCCTGCAATGGACTGGTGTCCAATTCAGGGTGTACCCTGTCTTGCACCTGTTGCTTGCGTGTATAGGCTGTAACCCCCAGTTGGAAGAAGCAGTTAGAAAATGGATGGATGTTGGAAGAGCTACACTACACTGTCTGGTGACTGAGAATGACAATGTATGAATGACTTGGAGAAAAACAGTCCAGTCATTTGTAAAACAGTAATGGTTGTAGAGGCTCTGTTGTTAGCAACTTAACCCGGGCATGAAGGCTCTATAAAAGATAACCCTAAATATGCAAAAGCCCTAACCTCAGCAAATGCTTGACATCTGGGAATGAAAATACATAAATAAGGAATGACAGGTGCTCATTGCTTCCAAGCAATCGACAGTACTGATGCATTTTTGTCTGATGGTAAATTCTGCTGTATTATAACAGCTTTTAACTTGTAAAACAGAGTTTCAAAGAAACACTCGCATCAATTAAACGATAACATGTACATATACAGTGCCTACTTCTCAGACAAGTGGATAGCGGAGGTGTGGAAGCTCTTGCAGATCGGCATGACCTCCATGCGCTCATGGTCACTCAGCTCCAGTGTCTCTAGGAACTTGTTGGCCACCCGCTCCAGGGCTTCCTCAGGCCAGGGCTGGCACAGAAACACAGAGCACAGAGTTGTATAGGGGCACTGCTACATACAGCCAGACAGCCAGGCATGCAGAACTAAAAAGCTTTGGAACATTTGGGCTGAAATTAAATGTATTGCCTGGTTCAGTCTTGTAGCCTTTTCATGACCCCATTTTCAACAAAAAGTTGCAAAGAAAGAAGAGAGGAAGAAGAAGAAGTTCCCACTTTTAATTTCAGGCATTTATGTTGTATGCTACAATGCTGCAATATCTGGTAGACTGTTGACTGATTGGTTGATTTTACTTTAAAAACAGGGAACCATATACAAACATTGAGATGCTTTCACAAGTGAAACGTTAGTCAGGTTGGTGCTACAGAAAGGTGAAAAGTATGATATTCCTTTATGGAGTTGCTCGTTTGTTTCTCACCTGGAACCAGTCGATAGTGCAGCAGTTGATGAGAGAGGGGAACTGCCGCAGTCTGTTTCTAAAGGCTTCCCCGATGGGGCTGAATGCCACTACAACGTGCAAGTTCTCCTTGCAACGGTTCACAAAAAAAGCAAACAGGGACAGCGGGCTAAACTCCACAGACTTGTTTCGAGCCTGAGCCAGGGGACGCACTGCCTGCAAGAGAGTGGGGTAGCCTCAGTACTGCATTGTGACAGTAAACTCTGGTTTTTATGAAACTGCAGAATAAATCAGAATGCAATAAAATAATACTATTGTTCATATGAGATACAAATAGAAAGTACCAGTAGGTATTTATGACTTGGAAAACCCTACCATCAGTCAAACAGCGGGACTGGAAAAATCTGAATAAATTACATTGATTGCAATCTGGTAATGTTTCGACAGTTTCATCTTACACTGTGTGTTTAAGCATTCAAGGTTTTGGGGCGAGAGAGTTGATGGAACAAGAACTATGAAATAGAGATCCTCCATTCAGAGAAACTGGTTGCCACCACATCAGACAGACCTTACCAAATGTAAGGTTAATATGAAAAAAGATTAGGTACTTAATATACAGTACTAGAAAGTTTTTAGTTTTTAAAGATACACAGAATAAGTGTCTTCAAAACCAAGGTGAAACCTGCAACCTGATAGGAGCTCAAAGTATTTTTCAAGTGTTTGTTTTCTTGGTAAAGTCTGCCTGGGGAGTAGCCCATCTAGAGAAGTTAACTACAGTTGTTTGCAGATACTGTATCATTGGATTGCCCTTACCTCCATGATCTCCTGCTTCTCATCCACTGCGAAGAGGTTGGGCACTTCGCCGGTGTTCAGCACACTGTCAACATCCTCTAAGAAGGCCTCCTGTTTGATCTGGGCATCTGTCAGCAGGAACACCATCTTTTGGCCTTTCACCCCAGTGTTCTTCAACAGACGCTGCCCACATATAAGACAAAACAGTAAGCCAAGCCTTAGTGCTGCAGAATTACAACACAGACCCATAGCATATTCAATGGTTTTCTTCAACAGTTCTACACAATTCACCCAAATCGAATCTCCGGTGCTTCACATCAGGTAGAATGCCTTTAGAAGCCATGCACTTTATCAGTACTCTTTTCAGCTGATTGTGAAGTCAACCCAGGTGACCAGTGCCTAGATTCATGGCTGTTTTCTTGGGTGACATGAAGTGTGTATCATAGTGTCAAGGCAACATTAGCAGCAATCAGATCAGATTTTCATAGTGCAAAATGATGCTTTCTTTCTAGACTAATTCTGCATTTCTTAGCACACCAACAAACACCAAATTAAATGTCTAAATGTTTTATAGAGATTACATGAAAATAGTAAAGGAACTGGAAAAAAAACTCTAAAGCAGTAAATACACCCTATATAAAAATACTTCCTTGATATCTCTGACTCTACCTTGAGGTCCTCTCTCCACTCGTTCATGCCATAACTCTTGGAGATCTCCGGCTGGAAGATGGTCATCTTGGCCATCGCAGTGGCCAGGCGTGTAAGAGACTGGCGCCCACTGCCACCCACCCCAACTAACAGTGCGTTCCCACCCGGCTGCTTCAGGACACGGCTGATCCTGGACAGATGCTCCAGCACGTAGCTGGAGGGAACAAATATATAATGACACATCGGAAACAGTTTCCTATACATGTTACATTACAGGCACGTGTTAAGAAGTGTCTTAATGTTTCTTTTTCATCCAAATTTTGAAAAACACACTGAAAAAGGAGCTGGCAGGTAGCTAATGTTCTTATTTTACCAGGTATAAATAACAATGAAGAGTAATACTACAGAGGACAGAGACAACTTTTTCTTGAAGAAAGCTATTGATGAAATGCTTTTCATTATGATTTGTTAGGCTGAAGTTACATTTAGGACAACTTCTCCTTTCATTACAATGTTGAAATTTACTTCAGTTAATAGCCTGATCTGTTATTAACAGTACCTTCCAGGCGAAACAATTTGACTGAATAGTGTATATATTTTTTTTCCATGGCTATGAGCACATTGATTGCACATCAACAGTAGATCTTTCCTGGGGTAGAAGCCAAGCACAACAATGTGACTGGGTATTAAAGGGAAAACTTAAATAAGCACTATTTTCTAAAAATGGAAATGTACTTAAACTTTATCAGCCACTGCTTCTCATCCTTGTGTCCTTACCGGAATATCACCAAGTTCATGCGTGTTTTGTGAGTCTGGTTGTACTCTTCCAGACACTGCTCAACCACATGGTTGAAGTTCTCGATGGAGGGCACCTCCGCATACAGTCTCTCATTATCTTCCAAGTCAGGGTTCATATAGTCTCCAAATAGAAGGCTTCTCATATCTTCCTCACATAACTGCAGAAAGATCACATTGGTCAATCGCGAACAGTGCAAAATGGTCAGACATGACCAGACATAAATCGAAGGGTAAATCTGACTTATAGTTTTGACAATAAATGGAATCATCCTTCATTAAATATTCAATTTTGCCAAATGTGCATTTGTTAGGCTGGAATGGCTGAGTTAATTTTCTGTGTAGGACTGAGATGTTGCACCAACAAGTCTACAGCTATGGTAGAAAGTATGTTTTTTGCCTGTGATGAAACATTCTGCATCAGTACTTACAGCGGCCTTTCCTTGCTTCAGGTGCTCAAAAACAGAGTCAAAATTGTCCTTAAAGTGGTCTTTGATGATGTTCTTCATGAGCTGGTAGAGCCAGGCTCTATCCTTGTCATCCACCAGGCGGTCATAGAAGACTCTGAAGACCTCATGCACAAAAAGGCGGATCATGGTGCGTTTGTTCTCCAAGGACTCCTTCCTCAGTAACAAGCACCCTTGGATCACACGAGAGAAGTCCCGCAGGTTGAAGGTATAATGGGACTTGGCCGGAGTGGGCAGGAGGTTCTCCATTGCTTTCTTATAAACCTGAAAAAATAAGACACAGCGTAATGCCACACTTTACTTTCTGAAATCCAAATACTCAAATATCTCAGAAACATTATTTTACTTTTTCGTTCCTTTCTCGGATTGTGTCTGCATTATGTTCTTTAGTTAGGTGAAGTCATCTTTGACAACATTTTGTCTCATTTGACCCATCAAATTCTATAAATGCATCCTTGCATTTTTGAGATGAAGAGTAGAAAATCAAATTAGAAGATCTAAAGAAAAGGCTTGTGAACTGTGATCAAGTGTTGCACTGACCTCCATGGTTGCACTGACAATCTGGCTCCCCACAGTGAAATAATCTGGGGGGAACTCTTGGTTCCTGAGGTAGAAGGCCACGATGTTAGAGAAGATACGGACCATGGTGTCATCGCTGAAGGAGTTGATACTGCAGATGATGAAATGACGCAGAAAGCGGGGTGTCACTGCATTCCTGCCTCCCCCTGGCGGACCCATTGCAGAGATGAGCTGCAAGTCCACCAGTGTGATCTTGGATGTGTCTTTTAGGTCATACCTTTAGAAGCATTAAACACGGCGAGTTAAAAGAACATTACAAAGCAGAATCCTAAAATTTCTTGAAGAATTGTAGTAATAACTATAATATTTCACAATAAGTATATCTTATTAATTCTACCCTGGAATCTATAGTACCTAACTCTTGATCTCAAAATCACAGCTTTTAATTACATTCAACATTAAGTGCTATTTTAAGGAAAGATCAAAACACTGAAAATGTGTTCAAAGTAGTTAAAAGAACTGTGTAGCATGATAATTGGTCTTATGAAAAGAAATAGCCCAGCTGCACTGAGAGAGAAATTAATTTACACTTGTTTTATGCACTTTCACATGTCACACAAATAACAGCCTGACAGGCTAAAAGAGCTTAAATTATTTAGTCTTGAACAGAGAACATTACAAAGAAACCTGATTGAAGTGCCTCAAAGGCACTGACAAAGTCAGGGATTTTTTAGAAACAACCGTGAAACAAAAATTAGAGGACAGAAGTTGACACTAGCTGCAAACTGTTTCAAACCTAGAACAGGAGGAACTTCTTTATGCAAAGAGTCATCCATCAAACAGGCTAAATGGGCTGAACGAGTTTGTTCTATTTGTAAACGTTCTTACCAGTTCCCATGGTCAAACAACTGCCTGAGAAGTTCAATGGGCGGCTGAGCGCCATACTGCTCCAGGGCGGGCATGTTCATATCGTCCACAAAGATTACACACTTCTTCCCCATGGGCGGGCCGAATACCCCCTTCCGCCTTTTGTCCAGCCTGGACATAACGATGTTCTGCAAAGAATCAAACGTGATCATCACGAGCAAGAGCTCAGACCCCAACAGAAATACTGTAGCTCTCTTATTTTGTCACTTTCAGCAGCGTATCCTTGGGACCTTAGAAACTAGACACTAATAGCAACATACTATTATAACGTGTTATTTTAAGAATAAAAGTGTATAAGCAGAAATTACTTTTTTAATATATTTCTCATAGCCTTTTAACTTTAGATATCGGTATCTTTTATTTAAGGATTTTAATGTCACATTCTTTTCTCCTGTTACTTCTCCTAAAGCTACAATAACCATGACAATGACTATAACTAACATTATTCAGTTCATTAGAGAACCAGCTGACCTGCAGATATCAAAGCCTTGTAATGGCACATACTTGGCTCTGGTTGGCACTGGTGCGGGCTGAGAAGTTGATGAAGAAAGGAAGGTAGCGGTTTTTGTCCAGGTTGTTCATGAGTTTGTCTTTCACGTACACAGATTTGCCAGTGCCAGTGGGGCCGACAAACAGCAGCGGCCTTTTAAAGATCAAAGGAATATGGACATGACAGTCAGAAGGGTTAAAAAAATGATAATATTTACAAGTCCAAATGGCTAAAATCAGTTGTAAATCTATGTGTCTCACACCACTGACTTCATAACCATTTATGAGAAACTGGAGTACTGGAGCCAAGCAAAAATGTGTTAACCATTATTCCATTTTCTTACTGATTTATCCAGTTCAGGGTCACAGGGAAGCTGGAACCTATCCCAGCAAGCAACAGGCACAAGGCAGGGTACACCCTGGACAGGCCGCTAGTCCATCAAAGGGCAAACACAGACACAAACATGCACACACACCAGGACCAATTTTGGAGGTAAATATAACAGAAACATTTTGTCAATTCTCAGTTGTCAAGGGTTCTGTGCTACAAATTAATGCTACACATAAATTAGATATGACAGAGATTATATGGGGGACATTTTCATTTGAGTTTAAACCTTACAAACAGGTAAAATGTATAATAAATAAAACTACTATAACTGCATTCTTTAGGTTTTATGACATCATATTATACTTCTTTATTATCACAACCTAGTAGTGTGCAGCATAATCAATTCTATAAAACAAAAGAAATGTAACTTACTTTTCATATTGCACACAAAGGTCCATTAAGTAGGTGTACCGCACGGTGTCCATTGTCGGGACAATGATATCCTGCACGTTAGTGTTCTTATCCCCAAGGGAGATGTTCTTAATGGCCTCATTCCAATGAACCCAGCGACCCCTACCTTTAAACTAATGGGAAAATCACATTTCAGATTAAAACACAAAAAGTACTGACCCACAAAAATAAAATGTGCAGTTTGCACGCAAGAAAAGATTTTGCTGTTTACAGTTAGTGCAGATATAAAGTCACAGTGTGGTTGATATAATGCGCTTTCCAACACCTAGTAAGTTTGCTAATGCTGTGCTACTTGCTTTCCAGTGCCATACCTCGTATGAGTAATCATAGACCAGTCCCTTTTCTTCCAAGGGGCATTCCCACTTGCCCACAGAGCTTGGGATCGGGTGGTCTTCCGATTTCCCTGCGATGATTTCCCGCAGAAAGTTATCAAACGTGACACGACTTTCTGTGTCACAACTGCCCCCCACAGACCACACTAAGGAGAAGGCAAAGGCTGCCTGGAGCAACAAAAGGGGCAAGAATCAATCAAACTTCTAGTTTATAAAGCCTTACATTACAGCTGCAGGGTAAAAAAAGTTAGCACTTTGATTATAACTTATAATATAATATGTCATTTTTTGTTATTTTTCCAATAGTCAAAAAGCAGAGCAATTCTATGTACATATGCAAGAAAAACTGCTTTTCAGTATTGAGCTGATGTACTGTACCATGATCCAGGAGCGCATGTTCTTGTTTCCTGGCTCCTCTTTTACAGGTTCAGCCAGCAGCATCTCAAACAGGCGTGTGAGAGATACAACTGTATTACTGTTGCTTGTGGGCACAACCTCCTGCGACATCAAACAGAATCAGCTTTAGAGAAACAATATAACAGTACATTAAAAGTACACTATTGTTTGATACCTGATGATCATAATAATAATTCCTTACACTTGTATAGTGGTTTTCTGGAGACCGCACTCAAACTGCTTTAAAGATAATGGGGACTCCCCTCCACCACCACCAATGGGCAGAATACACCTGGAATATGTGCTGGCAACCAGGATGCGCCAGTACACTAACCACACATCAGCTATCAGTGGGGAGGAGAAGAGAGAGATGAAGCCAATTTAATGATCACATGATCATTTTCCAGAGCTCATTGATTCTCCTCCCTTTCACCTTAACGGTGGAGGGCACTACCAGCAGATTTCAAGACAATCCCAAACCACATTCCAGTGCCCATTCAAGACTCAGCTGTTGAGACAGTACTGTGATCTTCTCAGTTCTAGTGGACTCGCATCTTCTTCCATAACATAAGTTTTCTCATTATTTCACCCAGCCACACTGATACTTCTCGTTACTTTAAGTACAGTCATTTAATGACACTTTTTCTATTTATTGAACTTAATGTGTATTAAATTGTACCTCTTACCTGCATTATTTTGTACAATTATTTGGCTTGTACTACTGCAATATATTTTTGAATATAAAACATATTAGTATAAAATTGCAATATCATGTTAATATGATATTGCACCTATCTGGATTGTTTCTAAATTGTGCTATTTTTGCACACTGGTCTGTATTGCATTTTTTTCTACTGGAGTACATTGGCCTAAACAAAGACACTAGCAAAGAGAAAGAAAGGAAAATAAAGTGGTTAGGTGAAACCCGAGAAGAGATATTGCAATATCCAGAGCTTTCATTCACATTTGACAGATTCAGATGAACTGCAGTCGCAGTAAATGCACATTTACCGCATTGGACTAACTTGGTCTTTCAGCACTACAATGTGCACAATACAGATCCTACCTTGCAGTGTTTGCGCAGCAGCCTGAGGGAGGGGGGTAGCAGCCACTGGAAGAGCTCAGAGAGGAGTGCAGTGTTGTCCTTGAGCTGCAATGGTTCAGGCAGTGTTGTCAGCCAGGACAGCACAATGGGCATCCAGCCTAGCTGAGAGGGCTCCATGTAGATCATCCCACAGCGACTCACAGTAGCAGGCTGCGAAGCAAACACCAGGGACAAATGGAAGCAGCAGATAAACCCAATAAAGACAGCTCTACTTCAGACACCACAATTTCCTACAATTGGTATTTTAAATAGAGAGTTTCACTATTATCTGGGAAAAGACATACAACTGCTCATTAATTCAATTAAAATTGAAAAAATAAATAGAAATTTAGATTAGATTGGTTTGACTTTTCTGGCAAACCTTGCTTTGGTGTTTTGCCGAGATTTTGGAGCACTGCAGGAAAAGGGATGACAAATACTGTCCATGAATCTTGTTTTGTCCTTATTAAAAGTCAACAATCAAGTAAGAGATGTACTTACAGAAGCCTGAGAGAGATCCATAGCTTCAAAGATGAGGCTCATCTGACTGGACATCTGAATAATTTCTCCGCTCATCAAACATAACTATAGAGAAAAGGCCAGGTAATCGGATTCAGAGGTACTGTAGGCTTGTATTCTCTAGCATTGGTAAATATGAGCACAGGGACACTAAACATAACACACAAAAGCAATAAAAACCTCGAATACTTGCCTTCTTGTTGTCATCCAGCACTGTGTTCATGCTCTCAATCCACAGGGTGTCAATGGGTCCATCAAACACAACCCACTTCCGATCAGGAGTGTCCGTGGAAGCAAACTCCCGAAACGTGTTGGCAACGATCCCATCAGCCCACTGAAACGAACACACACCCTTTGCTCTTAATTGGCGGTATAAGTGAGTCATGAAAGGGGGTAAACCACAATAGGAGTACAAATTCAGGACCGGGGTGTACAAATCTGTCCTGTTCTATAGAAAACAGAAGTGTTTCTAACATAAATGAAGAATCTGTGTATTTTTTTAAATCACTTAACAGGATGCTCTGTTTTCTACCCTTCTTTGTAATTACGAAAGCTCAAAAACCAAGCTTCTGCTTACTCTACTCTGATTGCGGAAATTTCCCCGAAAATGTGTGTCCACGCTGTATTTATACAGTAATATACACATCTAAGAATACCATTTAGACTTAAGAATATAACACTCTCTCTTTTAATACTTAAAATATTTAACAATAGTGAGTCTGAGGTTAATATTGACAACTGCAAAGTAAATTCAACTGCTGATGCAGAAAGAAATGGGAACATTTGTGTGTGATAGAAATATGGACTTGACAGTGCATCTTAGCCAGGCCAGAAACACAACATTCCACTTCTAATAAGCCCTTGTATTTTTAGACTTGAACCCCCAAAAAGGCCTGCAGAATTTCTTAACTTGTGAGAGAATTTTATTGGACAGAAACTGCCAAACAAGTGTCACTCAAATGCATGCTGTTTCAATGAAGGCTCTGTGTGCAGAGAGGAATTAGGTAAATTATAGATTTTAGTGATAAAACCAGCCTACTATGAGAAACTGCAGAAAAAAGTAATAGTGAGATCACCCACCTCATGGGAGACAGGGTCAAACTGCCCAAAAAGCTGTCCCATTGTGATGGATTTAGGGTTCACTGTTCGGTATATCACTTTTTCTTCCTCATTATACCCCTTCTCATTCATTAGAGTCAGAGTATCTGCCAGCACTTGCAATACCTTGGTTTTACCAGCAAAAGGTTCTCCTACAAGCATGAACCTGCAAAACATCGAAACTTCAAAATCAAAACACGTTTGTGCACTCTTTCATTCCAGTTGTGGATTCTAAACATCTGTGTCTATAGAATTTATTTATTTTTTTACATTTATAGAGTATGCAAAACCTGTGAGAAAAGTCCATCAAGAAAAAATAATGGAAATACATCATGTTTGAACTAGAAATACTGGAAGAGCATTGCTCTGTTTCAATTGATTTAGATTGTTTCGAATTTAAAACTCACCCATGTCGAACAATCATCATTTCATAAGTCTGGATCATCTTTTCAAGAAAAACCTGCACTGGCTGTACATTATGTACTTTGCAACATTCATGAGCACATTCAAGAAAAAGCTGAAATTTGGGGGAAAAAAACAGAATAAAAAAATGAGCAAAATAGTTAATTAAGAAACAACAGAATCAATTTTGCATCAACTATATATTTTGAAAATGTCTGTGAAAACAGTTAAAACTCCTATAGTGCAATGATACTAATGAGATGAATACTGTATGTGGCACACTTACAGTTAAAAATAATCTTGAGCCCAGAAAACAAGTTTGTCATGTTTTTGTCACACTTAGATAACATTCATTAATGTTAGAAGAATCCTTAACAAATTAACATTTGTTTGGCTTGAGACACATCACATTAAGAAAGCAATATGTAAAACAAAATTAGATTTCCTTATTTGGATCCTGACCTGATAATCAGCCACTGGCAGAGAGATGCCTGGGAACAAGTCACTTGTGATCCCGTTAAACAGAGGAATGTCATGAGACAGGAATTTTGGCTCATTCACGTCTTTGATGGAACGAAGAAGCTGAGAATGGAAATTTTAGAGATTCTCAACACTGCATTTTTTGGTGTGCTATTACCTGTGCACTTTGGTTCTAATTGTGTATTCAAAACCCGTGTGCCAATAGATCTGTAGTTGCCTCCAGTTACAGTTTATGCAAAACTAAGCTTTTAATAATAACAAACAGTAAGAAATACAGCTGACTGAAACAAATACAGCTATTTTGTTCATTCTTTAGTACACTCATTTTCAAATGACATCAGCATCAAATACTAAATAAATGACATTTTCAAAGTGATATAAAAATCATTTACATGTTTCATGGAATGTAGAAGCTGGAAATTAAAATTAAATTCCTTTCGATTCACTTAGTCTCTACACTTCACAAAATGTGTTATTTAACACTGAGACATTAAGCAAGCATTCTACCCTGGAGCTTTGGGCTTCTTATCTACAACCAAGATTTAAAAAAGCCCTATATAAAAACCTTAAAGCCATGTTTATGTAAAACATCCTTACTTTCTGATCTCCTGTTAAAATAACTATTACTGCATCTCAGAAATGTTATCATATTTTGGTACTCACAAGAATATCTTCATTTTCTTCCGGGAACTTAAGTTTGAGATTTCCAGCTGCCACCAAAACAGCTTTGACTGCACGCATGCCATAGTCATAGTGGAACTGCGATGAGAGCTGCTCTGAGCACAGCCTGTAAGTCATCACAATCTTGACCGACAGAGGCTTGGCATGAAGGAAGCCATAAGAATAGAGGGAGATTTCAGCTATCAGTGCATAATTAGGAACCATCATTGCAACTGTCCTGAACAGGACCTGCAAGAAGGAAGACAACGGAAAAGGTCACATGTTTGAACACAAGCCCACAGCCAATCAAGTGCTAAAATGCACACAAGTGAATACAGCATCATGTTTATAAATTAAGAGTTTGTTTCTTTGATTGCTGTGAAACAGTATTTTTAACGCTACTACTGATGTAACCCTTGAGAGATGGACAATACATTTAAACCTCTGCATTGCACTAAATGGCACAGAAAGTTTACTGTGCTTGCTTTCTATAACACTCTTATTGTCAGGGTGCCTGGTTTAATCTGCAAACAGCGATTCATTTTCAATGGTTTAGAACAGCTGTCAAAGACCCCATAATCTGCTGGTATATTCAGAGACAACAAACAGATCCAATGATGCAATGATGAAGAAGTTTACAGCATCCTCGGTAGACCACATCAAACTTTTACTGTATTTTAGAACAACAGAAAACCCAGGTACTGATGATCTTATTCTCAAAATCTCGCAAATTTCTACAAGCGGGGTTCTGAAAAGAAAGCATAACCATTTACACATAGTCCACAAAAATCAGCTCCTACTCCACATCTATATCATTGCTTCTATTCTGTTAAAAGAAAAGTTTGTGCTTAAACACATACTCTTTTGAAAATCACAGTTGAACATTCTGAGATTCCTGCCTTCATTCAGTGCATGTGTAATATGTTAAATGAAGGCTATGGAGATGTAGGAACACTCACCATATTACAGTATATTTATTTATGAGGTTGTCAAAAGCTATGTTAAAAAGCATATTATTATATTGATGTCTTATCATTTGATTGCAGCACTAGAAATAAGCACGGTGCAGGATTTTCTAGCTCTTATTTTGAGCTAGTACTTAGTAACCCAACACAAAAGCCCATTGTAATGCTAGCCAGATTGCATTCCCCATGAGAAAGGCACCTTCAGGTTGTCAGGCAGTTCAGACCGTCCAGCATAGCCAGGGTTCATGGTGATGGCAACAAAGCAGTTGGGGTTAAGTCGCAGCTCAGTGCCCTCAAAATCAAAGTATTCAAGCTTCATCTGGATGGCTCTCTGGATACACAGGATCTGCTGGGCCACCACCGACAGCACTTCCAGCTCAATGCGGTTGAATTCATCAAAGCACGCCCAAGCCCCCGATGACGCCAGCCCTTTGAAAAACTGAAAGATGCACAACACAAAGATGACACGAAGACTGGAGGACAAGGTTTCCTTAATAATTGCAATCTGATCATTTTTAAAGGATATTTCTTTGGCAAATGCTTTTTATTTTCCTTTACTGTATGAAATTCCTTACTAGCTGCATATCCATTTGTATTATTAGACAGTGCATGCATTATGCATTGTTCTCTGTTATTTCTAAATATATATATTTATATTAGCCATATACAATTTCTTGCATTAGGAATTTGTCTTTTTCACATACCCCAGCTTGCTCTCCATGAGACACACAGACAGAGAGAGAAGCTTGGGGTCAGAGCGCAGGGTCAGCCATTGTACAGCGCCCCTGCAGCAGTGGGGGTTAAGGGCCTTGCTCAGGGGCCCAACAGAGTAGGATTTCTCTGCCAGCTGCGGGATTTGAATCAGCAGCCTTCTAGCCACAGGCGCAGATCCTTAGCCACAGAGCCACCGGTCCGCCCTCAATGCATGTTATTTCACATACGAGTAACATATCCTGCGAAAAATAACTTTTCCCAAGACTTCTCCAAACTGTTTGTGGGAAACAGTGATGTACAGTATGTAAAGAAGTATAAGGTACGGTTTGATTTAATGTCACTGTGTATAATTCTAAAACACTGTTACCAGTGTGCAGTGAATTAGTTACCTTCCCCATAGCCAGGTAATCCAGCCCATCGGAGCAGTTGAACACCACACACTGCACTGCCAGTGCCTTGGCCAAATCCTTGGTGGTCTCTGTCTTTCCTGTCCCTGCTGGACCCTCAGGAGCCCCCCCCAAATTAAGATAAAAGGCTCCAATCTGCAAAAGAGAAACATAAAGGGTGAGAAAGAGAGCATTAACATTGCCAGAAATACAGAACGTCCAAGAGATCCACAGTTGTAGACAAATAGAAATTGATATCTGATTCTTACACTTTGATAGATGTGTCTAACAACAGGAGATTTTTGAACACATTTGATCAAACAACATGGAACGCTATCATAATGATCAGGAGGTCTGTAGAAAAAAAACATTTTTAAATGTGTTCTAATAGACATATGTGTTTCTTAATACAAAGATAGTACACCATATACTGTAGGTAGTATACAGCATATGGATGTTTGCCTGTTATGCCTTCCAGCACATAGGGGCAGCAACATCCTGTTGCTGTTACCGTAACACTTGGTTTTTACAGGACAGGGTTGTTAGCCTTGTGCCCAACCTCCAACATGGAGGACCTGGCACCCGAGATGAGACACAAACCCACTACCCTGATATTATGAGTCTCATGCTCTACTAACAGAGCTAGCCGGGGCGCATACAGTATACGTAGTGAACTATATCATGAAGTGTTGCCGTGTACACACATTACACAATTTGGGTTACCATTCTAAACTTTGCATTATCATGTAATTGTACATTTTAGTGTAAATATAATTTATCTTGACAAGTTGGAACATCACGTCATCTCTCTGAAACGCACAGATCTCATGCACTTTAGTTATGGATATTTCAGATGCTTTTTGTTGCAGGTCTATGCTTTGTTCTGTTAAAATCTTCACTCCCTTTACCAGAGTGCGGTAGCATCTGTCGGTCAGGGGGGTGATGACCAGCCTGGGGGAGTTTCCCAGATACTCGTAGGCATACTTGACGTCACAGTTGATTATGCGGACACGTGCGTTTTCATTTTCCCAGTAGTACCGCAACTGCGCAAGCCACTGGAAGTCTGTTTCATGTGAAACACCTAGAAAATTCAAGAGCTGTTGTTACATAAGGAGGAACGTGTCACTTCCTTTCAGAACATTACCAAAAATGACTACTAAAGCCTTTCAATCCCTACCACAAAGGACAGAGTTCTGTAAATTTGTGCTCTAAGGAAAACGATGAGGTTTTAATATATACTGTATAGAGAACACTAAGAAAACAACATGAATTATTGTCTGCCACAATTAGATCAACAAATCAAAGCAAAAGGTTATGCTTTCTCTGTATTGACCTCAAAGAATTCAGAACTATATATTTATAAGTCTAGCCTTACATGCAAAGATATGGAGATAATGTGATTAAAATTAAAAGTTTTATATATGGTTAAAAGACTTCAGAGGAGAGCCAGTATGAATATAGAAAATAGAGATCTTCACTAACTTATTTCTTTCAGTAAGCAACAATTAAGGATAAATGGAGAGCTTCTGATTTGTTATATGCGGATTTTCCAGACGCTCCTGCATGAATTAGTCTTTTTAACCACAGAAAAGGTTAATTCACGAGTCTTGGTAATGGAAGAAACGTCTAATTGGGGTGAAGTGGTTGAAGTGGTTAAACATAAGAATGGTTAAAAATGTGAGTAGGCCATAAAGTTATACAGTTATAACGGTACAGCTATGAGGTTAAAGGTCCAAAAGGGACCCATCTGAGGTTCACTGCTCCAAATTTATATCAGTGATCTTAATACTCATGGTTTTCAAAAACTTGCCAAGCTTGCAGATGCAATAAAAATGTAGATGCTAAACCCTTTAGAAGCAGCAAAATTAAATTTTAAAAGATGTAGGCATTACGACTAGACTCCTGGCCACTACAGTTTAATAAGGTCAAGTTTCTACGCTTAATATACAGGGCCGGATTTTGGTGTTCATAGGCCCTAGGCACTTTCACTCCGAAATGTGCAAAAATAGGGGTAAACGCCAACTGAATTACGTCAATTGACACGATGCACTTTGAACTATTGGAATACTAAACCACGTGATTGACAGAGCGAGTCGAGCGACCATCACTTCTAAACTTCTAGTTTCTAGAACAGCCGCTAGAGAGCGTATGATTATTGATTTGGTGCACCTAGAGTCGATCGCAAGCATGTTTTTTCAGCTTTTCGTTAGTCACTAGTGTTTCCCTCCTTCATAGGCCCTAAAAATTTCGTAGGGAAATGGGAATTTATCATTCCTAACTCTGCAGTCAATCACAAGACTTAGTACCTTTCTCAATCATCTCCATCACTACATCCCTGGCATGTACATCAATGGTGACCAAAGCCCCCAGTGTAGTTCGAGTCTGTTTGGGCAGCTTTCCTCTCACCAACTCCACAATGTCATTCAGCTGGTTCTGTAATTGCTGGTAATAGTTCTTCAAACCCTGCAAAACACCACGTGTTTCAAGACCTGGATCTATTACACAAGGGGGGTAAAACACACATCCTGGTAGTCCAGGGTATGTGTTCCAAATCAGATTCAAGGAAACTTGCTTTGAGGAATAAGGTAACATTTATCAAATTCTTTTTCATAGAGTGTAGCTTCTTTTAAGATTAAATATATTTTTTAAAGAGTCATCTAACCAGGTTTCATTTAACAGATACAATTATATGCATGCAATTTATTTTTTTTAATTGCTGTGCAAAAATGATAAAAACAATTTGGCTTGTAAAACATAGCGGAATGTAATGAGGCATAACAATCAATTGATTGTACAGTAAATGTGCAATCATGTGCAACCCATTAGATAAAATATAAGCAATTAAAAGTTGATTATGATCAATGCACTCCTGAATGCAGGGATGCAGTCTTTACCTCTGGTCCACTGCCAATGGCCTCATGGACCTCGATAGTCCAGAACATCTGAGAAACACATAGCACCACCTGGCCCGGCCACTCTCTCACCCAGTCTTTCCTTGCCCTCTCAGGGTAGGCCTGTAGCAATGGAGTACATCCATATCAGAACAGATCGCACTGATCCAAATAAGACAAGTATCATAATGAAAGTGTATGACACATCAAGGGCTGAATCTGCATCTTCATGGTCAAAAAGCGACAGAGTTGAACAAAACAGATGACTTTACCAAACTCACATAAGTACAGTTATCATTCTACTGGGAATATTACATATTTATGACTCGCTAAATAAATAATCATTAAGCATCCTGAAAACAAAATAAAAGCAGAAGCTTTCTGGGGCCAATTTTAATTCAATTCAATTCAAAATATTTTATTGATCTCCATGGGGGCAATTTAATCCAGTTTAAGCTGAAATCTACAAATATCCTGCAAAGATTATTTTGCAAAATGAATGGGTTCTGATTTGCCTGATGCTAATTGTCCTGGATTCTGGTTTCCAGCTAAAGTTAAATCATAAAAGCATGGTGGTGACTGCGTGTCTCAAACATGGAATCCCCGCTTTCCAGGTGCAGCTATTGATTAAGAAGCGCAAGAAACCTGCAGAAGTTTTGTCCTTTAAAGACCCGATCCATGCACCTCTGACCTTTGACCTCTAAAACAGCGTACCAGTCTGGAGCGAGCCACCACATCCCGGATACTGCGTAGCATGACGTCCTCCACCTGCACCAGCCACTTCTCCACGGCCCCCCGCGCCTCCGAGGTGGAGATGAGCTCAATGAGCTGAACCCGCTCGCCCTCGCTGCTGTACATGGCCTGGATGTCGAGGTTGGGCAGGAAGTCCAGCTTCGCGATGCCCTCGAAGCACTTCTTCAGGTGAGGCTGGACACGCAAGGGGTCCTTGGTCTCGGACAGGATCTCCAGCATCTCGTCATTGGACAAGAAGAAAAACCTGTAAGAATCAAAGCCGTTCAATTTAACATACTGCTAGCCCTTCATCTGCTCATCTGTGGACAGCATGTTGCACTAATGTACTTTTTTGGACACTGCATTAATATACTGTTTTATACTGTGGTACTTTCAATCTGTATATACCTATGCGCATTTTGCACATAGTTGATTGTTTAACAGTGACTCTTAGCATATTTTGCACACACCTAACTCTATTTATTTTACTTTATATCGCTGTACTTACTTAATTTTTAGTCTATTCTGATGTCGAAGTTTTTGCTGGTTTGCAAGTTTTGTCTTGGGCTGGGCTGCTGTAACACCTCAATTTCCCTTCAGGATCAATAAAGTCTTATCTATCTCTCTAACATGTCCAGATGATTATTTTCCCTCCCTTTAGACTTCCAATAGCTCATTTCACATGATGGACTGTACATCCCACTTTCTCAACCAATTTCTTAAAGCCAACTTATATTAAAGAATAGGTAGATGCAACAAGCTATTTCAAAGTGCATTTTCATTTTATTATGGTTTCACATTAAAGAAATACATTATTTTTCAAAATAGAAGATCACAATTTATCAAACTATTCATTTTTAGATAAATGTTATTGATAAAATCCCTTAATTGCTGAGTCTTAACGACATTACAACTAAAACATCAGAAGGCAGGACAGCTTGAGTACAGTACCGAGGAAAGAAGAGCCTCTTCTTCTCCAGATAGGCATTCAGTCCCTTCATAATCTTATCCAGAAGACCATTAGAGTCCTGTAGCTTCTCCAGTAAACCAGGCAAAGATGTAGCAGGCAAAACCTGGGGTTGCAGTTTAAATATGTACAACTCAAAATTAAGAAAGAAAAACTTTACCGAAAGGATGCTATCTTGTTTGGTCTTGTGTGGATTTTGCATGTTTGTATGTTATGCTCATATAGATTTCCCCCCAACATCTCCCAAAGACTAGATTTAACTAGACCTAAAGTGATGAATTGGTGTCCTATCCAAGGGGTGAGCATTCCCTCAATGCTTATTTAGATTCTAGGACTAAGCTTTGACTTGCCACTACCTTCACTAGGATAAGGGCTTTCTTATAATGGGTGAATTAACTACCTGATTTAAAGCTTTGGTCTTCTTCATTTTGTAAGACTGAGGAAGAAACATAAAAACGTATTTATGTGTTAGCAGTGCAAGTAGAGTACCTTGGGGTCCTTCACACAGTGCCTCATGACGTCCTTCCAGTGCCTGTCCACAGTCTGGAAGAGACGGCCCTCCTCTGGCATCTGCTGCATGATGTCCTCTGAAGAGAAGATAGGCTCCAGATAGAGCCACTGAGCCTGCACCTTGAGCCACTCGTCAATGGTCTCCTGGATATGGATCAGCCTCACTTCCCACTCCTAAAACACACCCACGCTCTTCACATCTCGCAACACAAAAGGCCAGCACCTTACCTCTTAATCCAGGAATCAATGTTCTGCAACCCATGCTCTCCTCAGTATAGAAGACCACCATTTCCTTTCTCATTAAACACATTTTGCTCCTCTTCTTTTTGAAAAGACTTCTATAGCATTACCAGACTATGGAATTCCCATTTCACAAACATTTTTCTATCATGGGTTTTGTTTTCTACATTTTTTAATACATTATTTAGATTTCTCAGTTTATGCTAATCTGTCCTTAAACTTAGAGTCACCAATTCTTAATAAATTCACTGCCACCTCTCTTGAACCAGGACAGGACAGCTGAAGGCAACATGTTCTCTAAAATGTTCAGTCAGTCTGGTCATCCACTACTTCATGACACCATCAGCCCAGAATGACAATAGAAGTGCTATCACATCAACTGTAATATTTACTGATAGCACTGCAAACTCACAGCTGGCCGGAAGCTGTATCCACACAACTGCAGCCCACTGTATCTGTTCCACTCGCACTTTGTCCAGGTCACAGTCGGATAAACCAGACAGACCAGTTCTGTATTGATTTTAGAGACCAACGTATAATCTAAATAGGTGCTTTTAATGGTGGAGTCATTCAGGAAACAAATTTTAGATTCTTTTATTGCTTTCTTGGTGCCATAGAAGGGTACTGAGAATTTCTGATAATTTCTCAGAAACTTACTTTGCATTAAATTAAATAACTAGGTTTTTGCTTAGGGCAAGATGACTTAATAACAAATAAAACAATAAAAAAACAAGTTTCACCATGGAGCAAGTTGGAAGCAGTAATTAAAAACTGTATTAGTAGAGTGCACCCCGGGAGATTAATTAATGCCATTCATTGTGAAGGCTGAAGCCCCTGATCCTAATATTGCAGGTTCAAGTCTATATTACTGTATGACTATGGCTGTTTCCCAAGTGGCAGTGCAGAACTGACTCAGCAACACAGTGGTAGGGTTAGCAGTACAGAAAATGCAACCATATGATGGAGCCATATAAACCTGGCAATTCCAGGTTTGGTGGGCAAATGTAAGCAAACTTTAAAAAAGCATCATGCTCAAACCAAACCATTTTTATACGTGAAAAAAGTGAACATTAAACCTTAGATGTTATTGCTTTTTCATCAATGAAATTTCAGTGCGCATGAAATCTGGACTTGCCTTGATTTCAGTTTCAAAGGGCTTGATGAATGGTGAGCCTCTCATGGTCTGTGTCTTCACTATCTGGTCATCCAGTGTGGTCTGGATCTCATCCACCGCGGTCAGGATGGACACACCCGACTCTCGATAAGGGTTGTAGTGGAAGGAGATACTGTCCCAGGTCTCCACCATGGTGTGCATTGCCTTTTCCAGGGAAAACTCCTGCAGAGGAAGAACAGAGTCCCACCAGGTGCCATTGAGACAGAATCATTCCTTGTGCAAGTTAGACAGGTTTTGTATGGGAGATAAACCAGTGTTTGCTGAGCTTGATTCTATCAGTTCTAAAAACAAAATAAATATAAGACTGTCTATTTCAGTAAGCACATTCTGAACACAAGATTCATTGTGCTACCGTTTTTTTTAATTTGATGTTTTACATCCACTTTATTGGAACTTCTTAATAAGCTGTTGGAGAAACAAATAGAGAACAGTAAGAATAACATTTTTAAAAGGACTTTAAATCTTAAAGTAAATAGCTGATTTCTTAAAACACATGTAAACCACATTCCTGAAAAGTAATAATTTTACTCTAGCAAATTTTCATCATCCATCATTCCTCATTCAGATACTTCCACCTTCATTTGCAGTTAATAACCTCTGTGAGCTTCAGGTCCTCCACAATGGTGCCAGAATGTGTAGGTTTTGCAAGCTGACAGGGTGAAGTTGCAGCTTGAAGAAGCCCTAAGAACACTGGTCTTTGTGATCTTTACCTGAGGTAAATTTCTTCACACCTCTGCTTCCTGCCTAACTTCAAAAAGGCTCCTAGAAAGGTCAAACTCAGGCAATCATTGGCTGTATTTGTAAGTAGAGTGAGACCTCTCCCCTCCAATTCATTCTAATCACAAAAGGATGGTGAGATTTGTTTTTGTGTAGTACTTATTTCTGCCAGTGATACCACATTGTCTTGAAAGGCTTTATTGTAGGGAACCCATATGGTACCCACCTTACTGGCAGCAGCACTGATCTGCTCAAATTTATCCAGGTATGGAGCAAGATTCTGCTTCAGGACCTTCCTGAGGGTTGTGCCCGAGTTGGGTGTTAGGTCATAGCCCACAGTCTCCGACATCTGGGCCCAGTGCCGTCCTCTGATCCCCGGGTTAAACAGAATAGAGACCAGGGGAAGATGTTCCTGCAGATTAACACAAAGGCATAAGGGTAAGGCAAATGGCTAACACAACAATATCTACCTTCTTCTTTTGTATTTCTATCTTATTGGCAATATGTGGCTAAAATAGCATATTTGCCTTCTCCACCTCCCCCGCCTTAACACAGATAAGTTTGCAGTCTGGTCACAGTCCTCTCACCTATATAAGAATATCGAAAAGGTCTATGCTAGCCTGAAGTGAGTCTAGAACAACTGATCATCCCATAGATTGAACTTGAACTTGAACTTGATTTAATCTCCAGAAAAAAATTGTAGAAGAATTGTAGCCATCATGTAACCAGATTTAAATACAAAAGTTAGTTGAAAGTTGAAAAGGAAGAAGTATAAGTTAGTTCTACACAGAAAAGTATGCACCCAAAGACATTCTGCATAGCAGAAAGATTGTGCATTTTATTTTTATTTACTTTTCAGCATGGATATTCTTATCGTTTTGCTATAGCTTGCAAGTCCTCTTTGGGAGGTGTGTAGCAGCACCTTGAACTCTTTGACTTGCTCCATGACATGGGCGCAGATCTGGGCTGTGGGGCTCTCCTGTCTGCCCTCCTCCTCCTCCTCCCCTCCTCGCTCTTCTCCAGCACGCCTGCGCCCCGAGACTTTCATTCGCTCCTGCTCAGCCTTCTTCTGTTTCTGCTGGAAGAACTTTAGCATCTTGTAGACCTCCCTGAAGAACTCGTCCACCTCCGCCTCCGTTGTCTCCGCGTTCAGGTCTAGGAAGGAGCCATCCATCCACCTGGGCAGGAAGGTGAAGGTGAAGAGAGCAAAAGGAAAGACAGAGGGAAGGAAAACCAGGTTGAAAAATGTGGGAAAACGTTAGTCAAGGAAACTCCAGTACAAAGCAATGATAATCTGTAAAATTACTGACAGTACAGATTTTGATAGGCATTAGCTCACTTGGGTTATAATTTTAGTGTCTCAGGTGCAAGTGGTTAATCTGAACAACAATGAAGTGTTCTAATGGAAAATGATTCTAGAAAATCAATTTTCTGCAAGAGTAGTCTTGATTTCTAACTGTAGAAGAAATTGCGCCAATATGTATACGGCAATCTATAATAAAATATTCCAAATCATTTAGTAAAAATAACTTATATGGAGTTGTTATTAATCTGCGTTAAATATCTCCTCCTTCCTCCAAGCTACCTCTTCTCAGTCCGCTGCCACTTCAGCACCAGCCCAAAGAGCTTCTGGTAGGGCTCAATGTTTGCTTTGATGGTCTCCAGCTCTGGGTAAATGGTCTGTTCCCATTTATAGAGATCTTCCTCTTTATTAATAAAGGCAATGGTATCTTCTGCATCCTGCAAGCGCTTCTGCACAGTTCTTACATCGGCCACATACTGTAAGAACAAAACACGCTTTTAAATAAGTATCAATGTTAGTTATTAACTCTGGTGATCAGGAAAAAAAGCTAATTTAAACCTGACGCAATATAAAAACAACTACTTAAATGTTCGAAGAACTTACAGTATATACAGTAGTCTCTTCTTGGGCTTATATGTTATGCCTATGTTCTTGAACAGTGTATTCCTTTCAGAGAACTCAGTGATTCATTTTACAAGATTTAACTTTCGTGTTTCATTTAACAAGATTTGACTTTTTTTTTCACATCAGATGTTTTCAGAAAGTCCATCCATTGTCCTTACTGACTGTTTAGCCCCTTGCCAGTTTTGAAAAATCAAGTCCTTGTCTTGTCTAAAGGCTGAAAGGGACATTGACAGCTACCTGTTGCATCATGTCCAGTTCAGAGCACTCAGCAAACTCCTCCATCCTCTGGCTCAGCTTCTCCAGTTCCAGCATCACCTTCTCCCTGCGGGCCAGTAGCTCGCTCTTCCCTTTCTCCCTGGCTTTCTCCATCACCTGCACATGAGGTCACAGCTCACTGCAGCCTTACAGCTCATATCCTCACTACCACATACTATGCTTAACGTGGCAGGTGATCACATTGTTAAGACTGGTGTTTACCTCATCATTGAGATCAAAGACTGGATTGATGTTCTTTGGCCAGAGAAGCACTGTTGAATTTAAGGCCAGGTCTTCAGGAGTGAACATGTAAACATCCAGCAGGTAGTTCAATCGGCGCTGGACTTCCTGTGGGAGTATGCTGTTATTCTGAGACTGGCAGGACAATGACACTTTCAAAAGTTTGTATGTACTATTACAATTTTAGTGTTTAAAGCTATTTGTTTGAATTAAGACTAATGAGAATTCCTGGCATTTGTGCGCTACTTGTAACCCTGAAAGATCACAAATGATGCTTTACACTTAGGAGTGGACCCACTTCAAAGTGCAACATCCTACTCAGAGACACATAGCAGGAATTTTGAGACATCATTACAAAAAAGACCAGGTGCAGAACTGAGAAATTTCGTCACCAATGGAATTAAGTGGGACCTTTAAGCAGGCCAGTATGTATCAACACAGAATAGAATTTAGTCAGCAGGGTTAACATCTATATTCCTATAGACAGTGCTATAATTAATATAATTAATTATCCCATAGCATAATTAGTTAGGAACCTTAGTCAGAAGAGGAAAAGCACAACCTAAAGTACAGTGTCCCTGGTTACAATAGCAAGGCACTATTTAGGAAGTTCTGGTCTTGAGTCCCACATACTGTTCTGGTCCACCAACACCACTAACAGAACCAACCTGGTTTTCCAAGGATGTCTCCCATCCTAGTACTGACTGTACATCTTTGTTTAGTTTATAATATCTGATATAATTAATAAGAAGGGGGCAACACTACAATTGAAAAGGCTCTAATAACATCTACTTGTTGCATGTCTATGCTGAAAGCAGAAAATGTAGCATTGAATCCAATTTTTGCTTTGTCATTTCATCTAAAAATTAACAAATGTAAATCATAATGATGTCAACATAATTTTATGGTTATGGAACTGTGTCGGTATTTAAAGATAGTACAAGAAACAGCACTCACAAGGATCCTGCTGCTCAGTTCCTGAATTCCCTTTGTTTTGGTGTGTTCCACATAAGCAATCATCTCTATCATTTCTTCCGTCGTCTCAGGAATCCTCAGTGCTGTCTCTTTGATAGTTTCAAACTCTCTACAAATCCTGTGAAAAAAAAACAGGAAGGGTTTACAGATCAAATTCAAAGAAATTGTGCAAAATATTATGTCCCTGCGATAACCTGCAATTTCAGATTATGTTGCTACATTTCTGTGCTGACACAATGTCTTTTCCTCATTCCCTTTTTGATTCAAATCACTTCTATATGACCATAATTTACTTTTCAAGACTATCATCTACTTCTAAACTGACTACTTTATAGAAAGAGAATGCTGCTTCCAAAAAGACATCTGTTAACCATCTCTTGTATGATGCATTTCTGAAAAGAGAACTTGTGGAAAAGAGCAATGTTACCGATAACAATTGTTTCAATAAGTGCTAAAAATGAACTTTTTTGGCTGGTGAAAATAAATATATTACATAATCACACATGCCCTCCTGCTTTTGTTATGTCCAGTAGAGTTTGAAAATATTACGACATATAGAACTTGCCCCAGTGATCTCAAAAGCTCAAGTAGGAAACACTACTTTATCAGAAATACTCACATCTGGTTGTCCTCGCTATGTTTGGTGACCAGGCGCTCCAGAAGAGTTTGGGCGAAGGCTTTGGCTTTGTTTGCCAGCCCCTGCTTCAGGTCCTCGCAGTCCAGCTGCACCATGTCGAAGTGTGCTACTGAAGGCAGGCTCATGATGTCCCTGGACAGGGCCCGGAACTCATCCACCATCTGATATCCACACACACACACAGCATGCTATAGGAGTGCAGTTTTCCCACACACTTTTATGGAGACACACTGGGGGATATGCCATTTATATACTCCATACTACCAGTTGCAAAGTCAGGTTAATGTTGAAACCATGATTACTTAGCAAACTTCAAATTGTTTTAAAAACATATTACACTTCAATGCAATAGCCCCTCTAAATCCAGCTGTGTAGATACAAGAATGAATTTAGAACTGCATATGATTTTTGAGTGCTATATTTATCTATAATAGCTGCACAGTAAATGGGTACATGGACGTTTTCTTTTAGAGGAAGCTACATACTCCCAGGAAGTGCTTAGAAAATGAGATGTCCTATCTCAATATTCAACAGAGTAGTCCTGGGAAACCATCTTTGTGAACAACACACTTATTTTTGAGCCTTAGATTATAAAAAAGAAATTCAGGTGGACAGTGTCATATCTTCCTTCCATACTCACTTCAGTGTACTCATCAAATGTGTGCTCTTCGTCCATAAAACTCTGTACACGGGTCTCAGCTGTCCCATTGACAAGCCAGTCATAACTCTCAACTAAGAGACAACACAAAGTTAGTGGTTTCTCTCTGGATTGCTGAGATGTATGCAATACCGATACAGTCCGAGAATAACAGACCAAAAACTGCATGTCTCTGGTTGAAAATTATGGACTAAGATAAAATTATCAACGTAACTAACCTGTGACTCAAATCCCAAAACAAAAAGGCACCATAATATAAGAAGGGTTCCCTAGTTTTTTTGTCATAAATTTGTCATAAGTCTGTAAAAATATACATCACATATCATTGACTGAGAGTAGCAGAGCAGTGAGTACTATACATGGAACAGAATCCCAACTGTAAGACACCCTCAGGATTTACAATTGCAATTAGTTAGTCACTACATATAATTGATACTGACTCATTAACCATAAATCATACAAATAATTGAAAGCACAATCTATTCATCTATTCAAGCACAAGCTATTCATACGAGGGTTAGAGACCCCTAATCTACAGAACTAAAAACATATATACACATTAAAGAAAATGTTATATTTTACAGGATATTTTCTCGTTTTACAATAGATCTTCAAAGCATTTATAACTACATTCACTGGACACTGATTCAGAAGAATTAGTTTGTTCCATCTGTTTCTGGAGGAAACATAAATGCCTGGGAGATACGTGCAAGAATACTTTACTTAGTATTTTAATTTTTGTATTCAGTTCTAAATAAATAACTGTAGTAACAGGTTTTTACTTTATAAGAAAAACATAAATGCTCCTGTTGTTGTACGTTTTATTAAATTAGTTACAGTAACTTTACCATAGCTGAGAAAGTGCTGTTTGGGGCCCTCCAGGTTCTTTTGAACTGCGTTTCTTAGTGTTGCTCTGGCCCATGTCATAACATGATCAGTAAGCTTGGCGTCAATAACTGCACTGTGGGTCTCTGCCAGCCAAGACTGCACTGTCTGAACTTTCTAATGAAACAGAAAAAAGAAACGAATGAGCTGTAGAAAGCCACAGTTTACTCAGGAGTTTATTTGAAAGGCACATACTAAATTATTTATATTAGCTTTGCACACTACACATTAACATACATGAAGTACTAAATAAATAATATATACATCTAGCCATCACACAAGGAATTAGTTTTAGGTATACCATTATTGGAGATAGGAAGCTTTCTGTAGTGCAACGTAGTTTTCCCCAGTATAGCCAAAAGTAAATTTCAACACTAAAATCCTAACACAGCTGATAGATAGATACTTTATTGATCCCGTGAGGGAAATTGCAGATACTGTACATTAACCAGTCTAACATACTGTTTATTATATAGTATTATATTTTATCACTTTTCTTTCCCTTCTGTTGCATACTAGATCATAAGCACTTAAGGTGCCAACCATTTCAAACTGTAGCTCTAAACCAGCTTCTATGTCTATGTGGGAACTCAGTCCTTTCCCATCAGAGCACTGAGAACCTCACCTGCATGGTGTTTGTGATCTGGGTCAGTATAGACAGGACGGCCTCTTCCAGATCCTGAAAACTAGGATAGAATTCCATCTTCTCGTCATCGAAGGTGAGGTCCATTTTGAAGAGTGGCATGCGGTGGACACTGTCTGCTTCGAAGAGCTTCACGTACTCCTCCACACTCCTCTCCACCAGTGCCTTCAGCTGAAACACAGACCGCACTTTCATAGGCTCAGCAGTCAGAACTGAGAAGATGGATCAACAGTGCTGTTAGTTGCTTCATGCTATTAAAAAAAAATCAGGGAGCTTTAATATGACAAAATCATTAGACCAAACTGATTTGCCACTTTATAGACCAATTATCAAGTATTTAAGTATTAGTAATCAATAACCAATGCAGGATACTTTCATCATAGTATAGTGACATCCAGAATGTCTCAAGGTTTATGTCATACTGTAAACTGCCATACTTCCAATACTCACAGTATTTTACACTGTTTGCTTCGTTACACATTCAGCAAGTACAAGAGCCATTAATCCCAAAACACCTGAATTATTGCCAAGCAGAAACGTAACAGTTTATTTTTAAAACCCATTAGCCGATTTATCCTTTGCCTTTCGGATACGTATATTTTTAATATACGTGGATTGAAAGCCTCTGCTTCCATTTTGCATTTGATTGTTTTATCTTTTGAAAATCTCCTAATACTGGAGATTCAGCTTGAAGCTTGTAATTCACTGGAATGACTCGTTTATATAAAATAAAACATCTCTATCTATCAGCTCTGAATACTCTTTTTAATACAGTGGGACGTCATTGCCCTTGTTCATTAATAAGTATGCAAGTATACATCAGCTGTGAAAAAGAACACATACTGTAACTGATACCAAGTGTCACTTGACCTTATAACTAAAATATATAACATATTAAAATACCTCTAATAGCAGAAAGTGGCAAAAAAGTGGATAGCAATAGATAGCACCAAAATAGCAGAAAATATCTCCACACATCTGTTTGGTTGCTAAGAAAAGAATCCAACATGTCGCCAAATGCCCAAATGTTCTCAATCAATACCCATTTCATGTCATTTTCGGATCAGACTGCATACATTTACATTTGATTTTTTATTGTCAGAACCACTGTTGCTGTAAAATGACTGACCACCAAAAAAAAAACAAAGCTGGTCACGAAGAGGTGTGATGCAAAAATTCACTACGGTTTCCTGGCGTAGGCGTGTATTATGGGACACCGACCTGATTGGAGACGAGAGTGGAGACACAATTGTAGAACGAGTCCAGCTTGTCAGGTCTGAGGCCATGCAGCGTATCTTTATTGGTCAGGAGATGGATGACCTTGGGGTACCAGGTGTTCATGAGTTTCTCCTCCATTCGCTCACACTCCAGCACCACTTTGTTATTCAGTGACTCACAGTCCACTGGGCCTTTAGATCTGCACACAACACAGCGCATGTGTCCACAAAGCACACTGTAAGACCTGTATAAATTTTCGGGCAAATTATTTTCTTTTCCGTTGACAACAAAGACTTCTGGGAGCCCTTGCAATCCATCATTTCAAGACTTAAGCTAGATTTGACAGTAAGGTTAAATGAATTAAACTATCTTGCCAAAACTATTATTCTTTTATTCTTTACAGTAAAGAGGACAAGGGTAGTGTCGTGAAATAAATTATTTTAACCTGTTATCGTATTCTACAGCCAAAGAAGCTTTAATATTAATATTAGCAAATATTAAAATAGCAACTTTTTACACATGACATCGGCTGTACAATAGAGTTGCAAAATGACGAACTATTTAACAAAATGAACAAGTAATAGGTTTATTCCATGCTGAAAAAAAGAAGAAAGAGAACACAACGTTTCGGCCGTGGAGCCTTCTTCAGGTGTGAGAGAGACAGGGCAGT